TGCTGTCCATGTGGCAGTATTATAGATGCTATGAGTAATTAAGTATAAGAGAGAAAGAACTTGTCTGAGAGACTGCAGCAATAATGAGAGAGCCATGTCATGCATGGAATGTCAGTAATGGGAAAATTTTAAGAGCCACAAGGAATGGATGAGCTGCTGTGTGTTGAAGAAGTGGACTGAGTATGTGCTCAGAGTCCCAAGGAAGGATTGATTGTTAGCATTAGAGGGGGTAAGAAATCACCAAAGGTTAGAGAATAAAATTTGATTTACTCTACCTACCTACCTGTCTATCTGTCTATCATTCAGACTTAAGAATGTAGCAGCCTTTGATAATGGAAGTTTATCGAAGTATTTCTGATTATTAAAATTTTATCCCATGGTATATATAGTCAAAATTTTATTAAACTAAAGCACCAAATTAGAAAATATCCATCATTCTTTAAAAAGTCAATATTACAGTATATCAAAACTTTGTTTTTAATAGATCAAACATACGCAAGCATTGAATAGAAAGTGGGCTGAAGACAATGAAGTACAAAACTGTATGGCCTGTGGGAAAGGCTTCTCAGTGACAGTGAGACGGGTAAATGATTTTGTTCACATTGCTGTGGTTCTGGGTTTTCTTCCTCAGTGACAGTTGATGTTTTGACAGGTTAAAACAAATTTCAATTTTTTTGGTTAATGTACAACTACATAGAATAATTAAATTTAGTTTCTGGTTAGCATGTGTATTTCAATTTTAGTTTTGAATTCAGTCATTGCCTTCTTACTGAGTTACTCTCTGGAATAATCATTTTCCAAATCAGCACGCCAGTATTAAACACTAATGTTTTAGTCATCGTTGAGTTCTTTTAAAGGAAGAAAAAGCAGAGATAAAAAATATTTTCTAAACAATACCATTATGTGATGTTTTAAGTTTTTATTCCTATTGAAGGAATGCCTGAAATATTTGGCAAATATTGTAGTAATAGTTTTTTCACCTGGTAGAGGTGGTTTATTAACACTTTAAAAAGCTTCCTGTTTCTTTTGAGAATTCTATGATAAAATTCATATAAAATGTTTAGCATACTATCTGATAAGTAGGAAGCATTCCATTTAACTAAGAAATTACATTGACATATTAAAATATTACATTATTAAATAATACATTCATCACTTGAGAGTTAGTACCTTCATAGTGCAGTTTGCAGCATTGTTAATTTTATAATGGATTTGGTATAGTTCCTGTGCTTAAAATCATTTCATTTTTGTCATCTACAGCATCACTGCAGACACTGTGGAAATATCTTCTGTGCTGAGTGTTCAGCCAAAAATGCCTTAACTCCTTCTTCCAAGAAGCCTGTTCGTGTCTGTGATGCATGTTTCAATGACTTGCAGGGGTAATGGGTTATTGCAAACTTCAGAGTAATATTACACTAACATTAGATTTTTAATAAATGTACTTAATAGAGGTCTTGGACTACTATTTGATTTGGACAGTGGTTGCAATACTAAACCAAATTAGAATTCATATATTTTGGAATGCTGTCAATAGCAAGTAAAACTCTTCTATTTTTGTGAAACTTGGGCTCATTGTTCATTACTTTTTTCTGTTTAACCCCTGGAAGAGCTTTCACACTAAGTTTAGAATTAGCCAATGAAATGTAAATAAATTTTGGACAGAAAATAGCAATGTATTTTTTTAAATATAATTTCATTATTCACAAATGACATGAATATACTTCGATAACTTCTTTCTCCCAAATTTAGTGAACAGAAATGTACATGGATGATGTCACGTTATGTTGCACAATAACACATTAAATATATCACATGTTCTCTGTGTGAAGTTGCGCACAGAACTATGAAACTTTCTGACTCTTTTTGTATGTATAGGTCCATGCCTTAGTTACACTGTTATGTTATAAATTTACTACTTAAGTGTTCTAAACACATTTTGTGTTGAAATATGTATTAACCATGAATTCAAAATTGTTTTTGCTTTAACAATACTTATATTAGAGTCTCTTGGGTAGATTTTATGAAAACTTGTGTAAAATTGGTTTGCTTACTTTATTATTATCCTGGGGTTGTATTGTAATAATCAGGGTTAATATTTCTTTTTCATTCTCATTTCTAAACTCCAAATTAATCTCCAGTAAGAACTCTACAAAACTTCCCACCCTCACCCCATTTGGAAGATGAATAATAGAAATTGTCTAATGGTCCCATTCTCAATTTCTTGTAAATGGAAAATTTTCTGAGATTAGCCTTTTATTATTCCCTCATTTTGTCTCTCCAGCATCTTCAGGAATGATTTTGCTTTTTCAGTGGATCTGCTTTTCATCTTTATTTGGTTTAATCTTCTCAAGTATAGCTCAGTTTCACTGTAATTGTTATATAATTTTTGCATCTTAAAGTCAGTAACTGATGTTGCCAGAGTCTTGTTATATTTGTGAAAACAAACTGCAAAATGATAAGGCGACATTAAATATTTTACTTTGTATTTTCTTCTTACCTAATAGGGAAGAATTTTTTAAAATTGTGAACTTAAATTTAAAATGGTTCTGAATTTGGGTTCCATATTAACTGGGAAATCTTTTTACTTTGCAAAAATAATGCTGTGAAATTACCTTGAAGTAATGGCTTGAGAATAGTTTCACTAGAAACCAATATATTTAGGAATCCCAAAGTTGCAATTAGAAATGAAACAGAACAGCCAATTAAGGATAATTAAAAATTAGCTTATTTGTATGCTGAACAATCAAATTGAACTTTAAATTATCATAGCCTTATTAATTTGGAAAATTGGAAAACATCTGAAGAGAGAAGTCATTAATGTTGGTTTATTACTCTCTAGAGAAGAAACATAAAGTTATACATTTTTTCAGTGCAATTATTTGGTAGTAATATCAGGAAAGGAAGGCAGTTAATATTCCATTTACAATAAATAGTGTATAGTATACACTTGCTTTCAAATATCATGCTGAAATGAAATGTTTATACTATATTTAGTACATATATATATAAACTTAAAGAGATTGCCACATACTCCTTTAATTATTTAAAAACCCCATTTAAGTAAACCCTATTGTTAGTATCTATTAAGGACCCTGACTGAAGCCCTGGACTTGGATAAACATGTAACATTCAGCACATATAATGAAGAAAACTGATGGCTCTTCATTAAAAATAATACTTGGATAATATAAATTGAGCTAAAATTATTTATTTTCAAATACTTCTGTCAAATAATCTTAATTCTGTACTTTTACAAATAAGGGATTTAATAAATGTGTTAGAAAAAATAGTCACAGCACCACTATTTATTCTTTAAGATAATAAAATTTCATGAGAATTATGCTGGGTTAGAATATTTGTTAACTCCATCCCCTAATTGTGTACACTAAAGGCCTTTTCCTGTATTCCCCTATCCACGATATTCACCCCCCCCAAAAAAAAAATTGTAAGGACAACAAATAGAACTGTACCTGAGTGATTCTCTAGTTTTCATCTAGTTAATGTCATTTCATAGGTCCTGAGTAATTTACTGTAGGCTGTTGTACTAATAATAATATAAATGAAACCTAATATTTTTGTTGTTATCTCTCACCAATTTTAGGTGTTTGGAAACAAAAATGAAAGGGTTTTCTCTCTTTTTTTAATTGAAAAAGTCATCTCCCATCCAAGTACTAACCAGGCCCGATTCTGCTTAGCTTCTGAGAGTAGACAATATCAGGTGCGTTCAGGGTGGAAGACTGCAGACAAAAGTCATCTTCTCAGTCCTTATCATCTCTATGGTTCAGATGTCTGCTGGTTCTATTCGTTAGTGAGTTAGAATGCGTGTGGAGTCTCAGCTCTCGGCTCTAATGCAAAACATACTAGCATCGCATGTTAGTGAATTCCAAACCCCAGCACAGAAATGTGAGCTGAAATCAAGTCTTGCTGGGTTAGGGGATAGTAAACTGTACCTATGGAATTTTTTTTAATAGAAAGTAGACAAAGCTGCTGGTATGGGATTTGTTCATTTTGAAGAAAAACAAGGGAAACAAACACAAAAACCTCAAAGCAGTGTACAAATAACCTTTTGTTCAACTACCTCTTAATGTGGAATAGGCTAGTTTCATAGTTTCCTCACAGTAGTGTTAAATAGTAACTGCCAAATTTGTTAGTGTCCCATTTCTCTTTAAAAAGGCTTTATGATTATTTTATAGTTTTGAGAACTTCAAATCCACTTTTTTTAAACCTTGCATTTGCATAAAAATATTCAGCTTTTAAGTGGAGAGCAAATTATGATCATATATTTTGATATTCATGATCTATTTGACTATAGCAATTTTTTTTTAATGCACTTTGGCTATAAAACCATGGATGACTTGATCTATAAGATTTAAATGTGCCGTCAATTTAGTTTTCCTAGACATGAGCGTGATGAATGCTATTCTGTAATTACAATGTGCCACACATTAGTGTGTCTTAATTGACCTTCGCCTGAATTTCAATGATCAATTTGTTATTGTTACAGATGTGAATATTGTGCATAAACTTACTAAATTTATGTAAAACTGTGTAAAATAGAGCTAAGTTCTTCCAGTGTAGGAGTAATGGATTCACTGTAACACGATGCAGTAGTGTCCATGACATTCTGTACTTCTTTGAACTGGATCACGTATCATATCTTATGTAGATACTTTCGCATGAGGATTTCCTTGTTTAGTTTTTGGATTCATTATTTGTATTGTGTTTACTACTTGTGATCATGTTGTTGTGCCTTATTTTGTGAGAGAGTTTAGCTCAGTAAATACTGTAATTTCTAAACTCAGTGACTGGAAGGTTGTTGATTCTAAATGTAACTGATGACAGCATTTAAATCTGTATAAAGATCAATGGAAGGATCCTTATTGAATTGTTGCTTTTGTTTTTTTAATATGTTAAAGATGGTATTAAAAACATTTCTTTATACTAGATGTATTCTATGACTACAAATTATTTTGTCTATTTTTAAAAAAGAGAGCAAGATATTAACCATTTTGCATTAATTTATTTACAGAATGTTAGAACTTTGTGCTTGGATATAGGGAGTGGATATACTTTAATGTTCAACTTAGAATAGTAATTAAATTTATAATTTCACAAGAAATTACTAATGCCATTTTTCTCAAGACATTTCCTTTTTATTCCATTCATTATTGTGGAAAATTAACAAAACTGAAAAGAAATATTAAACAAAATTAAAATAATGGCTTCTTTCACTATATATCTGAGTTTAATACCCAGGTGGCCATTTAAAAATATTCTTGTGAAGGCTTTACATACCACTGTTTTTCACTGTTTTTTTTTTTTATCCCCTCCCCCAACCCCAGGAACCAAAGTTCCAGAGTGTTTTTTCATTTTACTCTAATATGCTCCACTCTGAAGACTTTACTGTGTATATCCTCTAGCACTTAATATATTACATGTTAGACATGTTCTCTTGTAAGCTTTATAGAATTCCAGTTTAAGTACATAGAATATTCTTCTTTTAAATTTTATTGTACTGTCATAAGAACACAACATGAGTTTTATCCTCATGACATCTTTTTAAGTGCACAGAAGATGGCTAGGGCTTCTTCACCTTGATTAACTGCAGCTTCATGCATTGGCATTGATTAGTAACTACTCGTTTCCTCCTCTCTCTATTTCACTGGCAACTACCATTTCATGCTTGGATTCTATGACTTTGTTATAGAGATCTCATATAAGTGGAATCATACAGTACTTGTCTTTCTGTGACTTGCTTATTTCACTTAGCATATAATGTCCTCAAGGTTCATCTGCGTTGTTAGATATTGCAGGATTTCCTTCTTTTTACAGGCTGAGCAGTATTCCATCCTGTACATACATCCCACATTTTCTTTATCCATTCATCTGTCAATGGACATTAAGGTTTTTTCCACATCTGACTATGTGAATAGTGCTGCAATGAACATAGGGGTGCTAATATTTCTTTGCATATAAGCTATTTTATATTCTTGATATTAATTTAGTCAGTTTTTCTCAAATGACATTTTAGGGAGAAACTAGTTCTTTGTGCATATAAATATATAGTTACTGGACTCATGTGACTAAAGAAATCTTGAGAGATTGCCTAGTCCTAGTCCATTGTTGTCCTCCTAAATTGGCTTATATCTAAAAATCCATGCAAGATTATTGTTCATTTCTTTTTCTAAATATGTGTGTGTGTATGATTTTTGGCCATATTTTTTCCCTACATCTTCTCTTATGTTAGTCTGTATTGTCTTCTGAACATAATTTCCTTTCAGTCTCACCCAGGTCCCATCTCTAGGAATTGACTTGAAGTCTGTTCTCCCCTTTTGTCTTTTTTTCCTCATTTATTTTTAGCCTTTATCAGTAGTTATTGCTCTCCAGATTTTCCTTTTATTTTCACTTACTTCTACAAACATGTCACGTCATTACTCGGAGCCCACGGCCCTCTCTCCAAGACTGCAGCGCCTGGCCTCCGCTCGGGCCCTTGTGCTCCACCCGTGTGGTCTGCATGCCTGGGTCGGCGGGGAAGGTGGGCTCTTTCTCTGCCGGTTAACTGTCCCACGTGACTTCCCTAAGCACCATCCTATTCTCTATCCTGTTCTCCAACTTAAAGAGATGGGTTAAGTTGATCATTTATCTGGCAGCCCAATTTATGACTTTCATTTTAGAAATCCATGACATGTGGTTAAAAATGAAATTTGTGGATCTCCGTTTGATATAATCTGACCATAAGACCTAGTTCCTTAAATACAGTTAATAGTATGTTCTACCACAATAATATAATAATTCAAGCCTTTCTTAATAAAAATTCTAATGAAATTTCGAGTCCTGCCAAGTTAAATTAAGTGGCTGCACTGTGGTAAACACACACAACAACCCCATTCTGTTCAAAACCATAATATTTTCTATGACAACTCCATTATTCTTCAAAAAATGAAGTTTAGAGAAAGATACCTTACTATTCCTAAGAAATTTGCCATGTAAAATTGTTAACTTGTGAAACTGGAACAGGTAGATACTTGCTTTTCCTTTTTTAAAATAATAGAATTTAGTCTTTGGGATTTTCTATTTCCAAGTTAGAGTATTATGAAATATACCTGAGATAACTAAACTGTTAGAGAATAGGAATTTAGAAACTATTAAAACGTAGACCTTATTTATTGCCTAATATATTAAGAGAACAATCAAACTCTGTATCAAAAGAAGTGTCATTGTGTGTGAGGTAGGACTGGAAAGCAGTGGGACGTTTACAAGCCCTGTAGGTAGGAAAGTTGGCTTCGTTACAGATACACACAAAAAAGATGCTAGAACTCCTACTGGACACAAATGATGCTTTCCTCCTGCCCCTCCATTCATCTAATAACTCACCCTTTACAAATTTTAATAGCATTGTACCTCACTCATGCCTCTCACCAGCCTGACTGAAACATTTTAAGGCAGTCTGAATATCAGTACATACTTGACAAGAAATTCCTCACTTTGAAGAAGTTCAAATTTGTTGCAGCCATTATTCCTCTGTACTGAGAACTTTCTTAGCTTAAATTCTCAAATTCTGGAATTCCTTTAAAAGGCACATTTCTTTCTAGTTCATCACTAAGCATTAAAAAAGTTTGAAAGGATACCCTAATGCTTCATTTCTAAAAAGGTTGTTTTAGGTCCCTAAATTTCAGAGGATTCCACAGCCGATGGGAATAAAGGTATTTTCTTGGTTTCCTGACTCTTGGTGAAGCAGGTGATTGCTGCTGTTATTTGTGCTATCCATGTTTTCTGTAAATAAAATACACATATCCACACACACACACACAAACACGGGGGGAGAGAGAAGAATGTTAATGTGACAATTTTTTCACAACTGGATTAATATTTTCCTTTATTGACTTGTTCTTTAAAACTGAGAACTAATAAAATGTTTGCATATGGCTCCCATTTTCTTCCTTACATCTAATATATCATCACTGTCTCTGCAAATGGATTAAATGAATATGCAAGTGGGATAAATGGGAGTAATCAAAGAACCATAATAATCAATGATGACTAACTATACTATAAATAGTTTGAACATTGAATTTCTGTTTTGTGTGGAAACAGAAGTTCTTAACCAATGGTATAATTTGAAAAATAGACTATGGGAGATGGCCCAGGACACTGCGTCCCTAGGAAGAATGCAATATTGCATTTATTGCCTGGCCACCCTGTTGTTGCTGTGGTGAAAGCCTACTAGAAGAAAGACAAAAATGGAAACTTCTAAGATGGAGAAACCAGAGTCAGGCAGCTGATTTCCACCTCCATTGTTCCCAAAACAGGGGCATGGTTTCAAAGGTTGGAGAGCCGACTGGACATGGCTCCTGGCGGCAGTGGCCCCGCACTGAAGTCGACATCACGTTATTTGCTCACTGGGATTTTGGAAATTGATTGGAGCGTCCTAAAGTCAATCGTGCAATCCAAAGCAGGCCTTCCCCCATTTCATACAGAAACTCTATACAACTCAGAGGTTGTTCTGGAGCTTCTGCCACAGGAGAAAACGAGGGAGGCTGTGCCAGCTCTGTGAATGTGAGGGGATTGTCAGCTTGCGGTTTCTGAGCACGAGACAGACCACATGTTCACATTCCTCCCACCTCCCAACCCCTGCCCTTCCCTAAGCAGGCGAGGGAAACACACACAACTTTCCATTCACCTTTGGGGTGAGATTTTTTCTTACATCAAGTTTAAAGAATCAAAACCTACAAAACTGAAATACATACTTTGATGTTTTCTGTTTGGGCTTGTAATAAGAACGCTGCTATGCACTGTCGATACCGGTTTTCATGTTGAACAAGGAAGGCATTTCTCAGCCCAAAGACTAGAAAAAGATGACAGAGACAAAAAGCCAAGTCACTTATTATGAAATCCAAACAGTGTCTCAGTTCTTCTCTAAGAACCTACAGTTTTTTTGTTTTTTAATGAAGGAGGGAGGTTTATGTAGATGACAAAATAAAGTCTGAATCCAAAACCAAGACTTCACTACTGTGTCCAAACGGAGCCTGCTTAAATATGAAAACCGTTTCGTAGCTAACAGCTTCCAGGGCACCCATATAAGAGAAGTCAGCTGGTTCCCACGTACGGAGTTAGATTAATTTTTCTGAGCAGTTATGGCTTGTTATGGGAAATGGGCTCCTCAAGGAAGAAGCTTAGTGTGTTGGGAGGATTGTGTGTGTGTGTGAAATATAGACAATATAAATATGGAAAACAATGGGATTGTTTCTTTTTAGGGCCCTACCACTCCTTTAAAAATGTTTTATTTATTTTTGTATTTAAAAGAAAGCCACATCAAAACAAGGGTTATAAGCAAATTAAGGTGTGGCAAAAGTACAAAACCACCTGAATGCTTCACAATAGGGTAAGAAAAGATGAAAACAATGGACGCAAATAAAACCCAACATCCACCAAAGTATGTGAAATGTAAAACAAAACAAAAAGAGACAAACATTGGCATGGTCTCTGTGTTTGCGAAAGGACAGCCTGCCCTGTCGTTTCCCAGCTGGTCTCTTCAGTAATGACAGGAGAGAGTGGGAGAACAGACTCCTTTATAAATACAGGTATTAGCAGAAGCTCTTAAAGTAAAAGCTGCTTCTGTGAATTATTAATACAACAGAGAATAGCATTCTGCAGCCTATACCTCCTTGCTATAGTTGACTAATGTTTAGAAACACACCCACGTTGAACCCAGGTGTGTCCTTGCCAATCAAGTAGGCGAGAAAGGGACTAGAAGAGCGCTCCGTTCCTGGCTGACCCTCGAAGCCGGTGCTTCTCCACCGTCATTATCTCTATTTGTTGGAGTCTGTGGGTTTAACTCAGACTCACTGAGGCAGGTTGGGCCTCGCTTCAGAATCGAAGAAATTGCCAGACTTTTACTTTTTTAACTGCAAGAACTATCCCAGTATCACACATTATACTGATAATTATCTAAACCTAATACTTCCTAAATCCTACCACAACAAAGTCTGTCAAGGTCATGAAATTGTCCAGCTTCTCTGAGGTGAGAGGACTTGAACTGATTAAATGACTATCTGAAGAAAAAGATGTGGCTATGTTGGTTTTACTCCCTCCCTGATTTTTCTCCTTATAATTCCCCTGTAGCAAGTGAGGCTTTAAAGATCAGGTTGTTTTCCTTGGCTAGGTTTTTGAATCCGTATTCCTCAAAATTGTGACTGTAGTTCTCAGTCACTGAAGGCGTCCCTCACTTACTTGGTTTGCAAATATGGATACGAGGGCTCCATAAGCAAGAGGACCTGGTATGGTTAGGCTTGCAAAATGAAAAAGGAGATAATACATGGTTGGGAATAGCTCTCTTCCCCCCGACATTCTAATATAATAATGAATAATCATATAATAATTGACACCATTCATTAAGTATTTGTTTGGTACTGAGCACTGTGCTGTTTCTCTTTCTCTTTTTGGTGCTTCTCACCCCCCCGACCCCCGCTATTTTTCATGTCATTTAAACCTACAGCAACCATATAAGATAAGTCAGCTGATTCCCTCATACAGATTTAGATTAATTTTCCCAAGGTCACACAGTAAATCATATAGCCAGGGTTTGAAATCACGTCTCGGTCACTGCAAAGCTCAATCTCTTCTCTTTTCGCCCTTTACTCTTTCTCATTCTACAGCTGTTCTGTCTCTGGGGCTGAACAGTCAAAGCAATAGACCAGAGGAATGAGGAAAATATTTTTTAAAAAAGAAGCAAGAAATGGTAGTAACAAAACAAAATAATAAAATGGTGGAAGTATAGTTCTAAAAAGGTATTGTTTTTATTTTTTTAAAAAGAAAAAACCTTAGTTATATACCATAATGATATAAATGTTTGCTGTTATTATCATTACTGTGTGTGCTCCCCCACTAATTCATTCACTGTGATGCCGCTCTGTATGGCAGGTCCCCACTGATGCACTCAGCTTGGCCGAAGGGGTGCAAATTGAGGGGAATGGGCAGTGCCCCCTCTTTTCCTGCCCCTCCCTTGGAACAGAAAGGCAATCCCCTCCTGCCTGGCTTTAGCTGGTCTCCTAGGAGCCTATACCCAGGGCAGAATGACACCTGCTTCCTCCCGAACACTACCCAGCACTGAAGAGACTGACATGTCCTTTAAGTCCCTTGAGTGCCAGGGCTTTCATGACAGGAGTTATTGATCTTTCATTGTTCTGAGAGATCCCCAAGGAAAAGGGCTGTTTCTTATTCATCTCTGTAACGCCAGGACACTCACAGAGTGCCTGGCTTTCTGTAGACAGTCAGGAAATGCTTGAAAATGAATAAAAATGATATACATCTATTTATGACACATGACATATATGCAAACATTATTTCTGGCATGTTTCTTTTTATGTTGCTATGTAACAGAATATCTTAGGCTTTCATAGAGTGTTGTGGTATACTAGTGATTTATCAATAGCAAGAATACTAATAGTGATGATATAATACTACTAAAAATAGCTATCATTTATTGAGTGCTTTACATGCATTATTTCATTTAATTCTTATGATGATGCACTAGCGTAGATATTATTATCTCTATTTTACCAAGAGGAATCTGTGGCATAGAAACGTCATTTCCTTGCCTTTGCTCACACAGCCAGCAAGTGGCAGAGTGGGTCATGCAAGCGCTGGAGAACAAGCCCAACACTTCTGCAGCCAGTTTGCAGAGTGCGTGCTACACAGCTGCATAGGAAGTCAGTATTTGCTTTTACGAGGACTTAAATTGAGTGTACGTGCTGTCCCCCAAAAAGGCCAACATAAAACTCTACAGTGGCAAACAGACAAACGGAATGATGAAAACTGACACAAACCTGACACGTGGAGAGGATCGATACTTTTGACTACCAATCTATCGAGTGGAATGGGCTGATCGAGTACCGTACACGAACCACCCTCTTTTATTACCGTTTGCAGCTCAGGAGTAAGTGAAGGACACATTACACCTGTGTCTGAGCCTCCAGCTTTCTGAAATCAGAGAGATAATGCCGTAAACAGGAAGTAAACATTGGCACGCATTCCTAAATCGATTTTTTAGAAACAATTGCTTGAAATCCAGCTCCCTATTTCTTGAAAAGCATTTCCCCAAAGTACATAGTGATTTAAAGCATAGTGTTTCTGAAACCTAATTTTAATTATCTGAGTAAATGTGTGATGTCTATAATTGGGAAGCATTTTAATCACATCACGTCAACGGGAAGCTCTTCATTTCTGGTATCTCGCTATAGCCCTCAGTGAGATGAATGAGAGAGGGACCTCATCCTGGCCAGCTCTGTCCATGCGGTCTAACCCTGAACTCTAAGTGGATTCCATACTCTATAATTTGTAAATAATCAAAATTATTTTGAATATATAAGATATTGAATTTTTAAAAAGGGTGTCAACGATTGTGATTTGCATGACACGTATTGTTCATTAAATTGCAGAGTGGAATTTAAAACATAATAGTTCCATTCTTTTTTCCAAAAAAAAAAAAAAGTGAAACCTGATGTTTTCTCTGGGTGGTTATTTTTATGCCTATGAAATCAATAAAATCTCCAGACTTATTAGACAGAGGAATTCAACAAGGAATTTAAAGCAGATAACATTCCTCATTTTGGAGTTAGGTTGTCAGGCATGAAACCAGAATATTGCCTTATAAACATATTGATATATGGGCCGCCATTAATTCGTGCACTCAGATTTGAGCCATTATTGGATATGAAGGTAGGCTGTGCTCAGTGTCAGGTTTTTGATGGGAATATAGACATTTCCAGAGCTTGTCGGACATTCTTTGTCTGGATAATTTAAGAGAAAAGGCAATCTAAGTTTCAAAACTGCAATTCTTAATATTCTCCAACATCCACTCTCTCAATAACCATTCAATTATTCATAGATTGATCAGTTGGTGTCTGTTTATTTGTAGATCCTCAAGTTATTTAGCTCAACTAACCCATCTGACATCTAGAAGCTTATGTTGTTAAAATCTGAGCTATCTAGTCTCATGGTCTTGCATCTGTGTAAGGCTAGTCAGCAGGTGAGGAAGTGAATAAATGAAACAACGGATATCTCTGATGGCTGACCACATCACAGCTCCTCTGCCCTCTTTGGAGCAGATGTCTAGGTGCCTTAGAGGAGGTCCCTTTCATAGCATCACTCACACCATTTAGGGACAGACTGAGACATGGAAGATTAGACAGAAGGCCTTTAGTGGACCATGATACTCATGGCTTAATTAGTAACAACAATAATAGTGGCCATAAATACATAAGTAGTGGGAAAATTCCTGTTCTTGGAAGAGATTTTGTGGCTTTAACCCCCAGTTGACTCGTTTGGTCTGTGATGCTGGCTGTGCAATTACTTGGCTTCTGCAGCTCTTATGTTATGTACAGGTAGGTGCCGAGAGTCAGGGCCCCTCCCACCCGCAGTCCCCAGGTCACTAATTTCCAGGCATGATGTGAGCTTTGAACTCAGAATGAATGATGGATGTCACCTCAGGATGTGGCAGCAGACATTTTCGAGAGAGGCCCCACTCTGGCAGTTTTTACTGTGGACAATTTGGGTGATGAAAAGGCCAATATGGACAAAAGCATTTGGGTTTCATTGGCTTTGGCAGGTCAGGAATAAAGTCCTGCAGCTTCTGGGACTTACCTTGAAAGCATACAAAGTTATTCTAAAAATGTACACATTCGACATCCTTAATAAACGTAACTTGCTTTTGTTATTGCTATTTTTTAGTTCAGAACTATCTTTTGTAATGTTTCCATTTTTTAGAGGGTGAATCCCAATTGATATATTAAAATATTTTGTATTTTAACACAATATTGGGAAATATTTCTAAATTTATTTAGCAGACATTTAGAAATAGCAGCATTTTACCTTTTTGTTGCGCTTAGTTTTCGTAACTAAGAGGAAATCATCAAAGAGAAACAGATAAACATCTAGGAATCTTGTACTTTCTGAGAAAAGAAAGAAGGTGAAATTGGGGCTGGAAATAGTAAGCAGAAGGTATTTTGCTTTTTAAACCAAAAAATCGCTTCCAGAACAAAAGCACCTGGGCACCCCAGCATCCCAGCCTGGTCAGGGCTGGCCATTACCGGGGCCAGAAACCTGCACGGCTGTGGGACTGGCTTCTTCCTCAAGCAGAGACTTTAGGAAGCTCACGGTTTTAAAGACATTGTATTTGTGATGCATTTCACCTGTATCTAAGATAACTTGGATGATGTTTATAATTGTTTCAACTAAGCCTCAGACACATGTATCAACTATTGAACTTACAGCATTTTTGCCTCTTGATTCACCTGGGTGTCATCAGCAAAGGTATGTATGCACTAGCAGGGAAAAGGAGCATTTTGTCATTGCTGTGGACTAAATTGTGCCCTCCCCACCCCTTACCCCAGCCCCTGTTTGTAGGTTGAAGTCCTAATCCCCAGTGTGGCTCTTTTGGGAATGAGGAGGTGATTAAGAATAAATGAAGGTGTGAGGGTGGGGCCCTGGCCCCCGGGATGAGTGTCATCAGAGGAGACGCCAGAGAGAGACATGGCTGCATCGGAGAGGGAGACCACCTGCAAGCTGGGGAGAGAGCTCCTGCCCGGTTGGCCACTTCCCCTTGGGCTTTCTGCCTGCAGCACTGTGAGAGATAACCTTCTGTTGTTTCAGGATCCAATCTATGGCATTTCCTTATGGTGGCCCTAGCTGATGAAGACAGTCATGAACACCACTTGGTTTTCAAGTTTTACAGTGTGTCTGTACAGGTTTCAATGTTCTTCATGCAGCTTTATACTTACAGGCTTTTTTGATATAACTTTTGGTAGTAACTTAAGGCAGTTCAGCCTTTCTATTTTTCTCTAGGAAGAGGCTTATGGTAGAAGAAGCTAATATTATTCTAATATTTGATTTAGGAAGGGATCCTTCTCTAACCTTATCACTTAGAAGTTAGAAATAAAAATAGTTCAGGTTACATGATTTCAGAGGAAAGGCAGTCTGTCCAGAGGGGAATGTGACAGATACTTAAAGTAAATATTTAAAAAATAGGTAAATATTTGTATTATCTTATTTATTTTATTTATATTATTCTAGAAGTTCTTTCTCATATACTTTTATACCTAGGAACTAGGTGGCTAAGGTTAAATTATTAGATAAAATATTTAGAGTTCATTTCTATTTCCTCCCCTTTTTTAAGTTTAAAGGGAAGATCCTTTCCATATTTGCATAGACGAAAAAATATATATTTTATTCAATTTTGAGTTGTCCTTGAATATTTTTAAAAAATTATATTCCATCACTACTAAAACATTTTTTGTCCAAATCAGGCTATGGCAAAGACTGCTGATTGTCTCTCAAAAACATTCCCCTTCTTTTGCAGTAAAGGAAGTTTTAGTGAGTCCATGTTCACTGCAGATAAATACTACACCTACCAGCCTCCTTGAAGTTACCTTTGACCAAATGATTACATGTGACCAGTGGAATATGAGCAAAAGTGTGCAGCTTATGAGTCTTAGCCTTAAATAGCCAGGCTCTGCCCGCCTGTGCCCTTTCCCCTCCCACCAGCTAGACACCCTGGTGACTCCTCTAGGACCACAGAGAAGACAGCCGTGCCCCAGGAACAGCAGAGTAAAGAGACCAGAGAGATCTGGGTCCCCAGTCACACCATGGAGGAAAGCTGTCACAGAGCTCTGATCTTACATGAGACAGAAATAAACTTGTTCTTTTAAGTGTTTACTATCTGCCTCCGTCTCCCATGGCTGAACAAACATCTTAACTAATACAGACGTAGCACCAGGAATGAGACACTGGACCACATCAGACGTGTTAAATGTTGTTTTCCCTACCCTGTGCTATTCATGTATAACAAACTAGGCTGATGATCATTGTCAAAACAAAATAAATTTTTTCTCTTGCTAACTTTATGTATTTCATTTTAACAAGCAGGCAGTGAGCATCTGCTAGGCCTGACAATTTATTTTAGGAAATGGTGATGACTTTGCTATTTACTGAGGCCCTCGTGTCCCGCCAAGCAGTCGTTAAGCAGTGACCGCCTGCCGTGCATCAGTGTTTCAGACAGAATCTCTGCCTTCAAGGAGTTTCAATTCTCCAGAGAGCAGACACATCATAAATAGGTAAGCAAGATTTAAAACAAGATAACTCAGAGCCTGATAGCACTAAAAAGCAGACAAGGTAATACAAAAGAGCACAACTAAGGGGGAAAGTTATAAGCATGAACTCAGGCTGTTCACGTTTGTTACTCAAGGGCTTAGATGCTGGTGCAGCCAGTGAAATCCTTTCACCCAGTCATCTCATGAGACTTGGTTAGTGACCATCGCGATCCTGGAACTCTCAGCTAAGTGCTGCACAACCAGACGTGAGACTCACAAGCTTCTGCAGTTCTGTGCTGGGCAGCAGCTTGAACAACACGTGTTCTTCAATGTTGCAGCTGTCAGACGATGGTATTCGTCTGCACCTCACTCATTTTTCTATTTAGAAATGCCAGTCTATGGGGAAAAACACGTTTGTGAAGGGCATGCTGGCTTGACTTCCAATGGGAAGTTGATTATGCTCCAAAAGTTATGAAAACTTATACTTTCTGGGGACAAGAAAATATACTTATTTGGTTACCACAGCACAAATTTTAAAGCTGAAAAATTTGGGGACAAAATTTATGTGTTAGGTATCATCATCATCATTATTGTTATTGTCATCACCACTCATATCACCATCATCACCATCAACATTTACAGAAGAGATGAAGGCAATTTAAGCAATTTTACCCAAAATGGTTTGGATCTCCTGATGCTTGGCCCACTGCCCTTTCCATTCAAAATGATGCCCTGTTTCTTCCACCACTATCACCCCCCTGCCATCCCCTCTCCATGAAAACTTTGAGTCAAAGAACCAGTGACCTTAAACTTGACACATTACCACTACTACATGGTGTCTCCTCTCTGATGGAGTCTGATGACCATAGCATGTGCCATTAAATAAGTGCCTGGTGTTAGTGACATTTATGTGGTTCATCTTCACTCTACTGTATTTGACTCTCCAAGAAACTTTTTCTGAAAAGTTGGGTCTATTTGTAAAGACTCCTTCTTAGGCCAGCCTCCCACCCACACTTCTGTAACAAGCACCCTGATGCCATGTGACATGTGAATGCACATCTAACATAGTTTTTCACTGAGAGATAGTCATTGTCATGTTCACCCAACTTCCACGTGGTTTCTTAGCTCACCCTAAATTGCCTCCCTGACCCATTCCCTCTGCCTCCCTCAGTGTGGTCAACCAACCCTCCAGGTGCATAGATTAGAACACTTGAAGACATCCACTCATTTCCTCTTCAACTATTTTTGCCTTTGAAATCTCGCTCACATTTATCCTTTTCTACCCATGCACATTTCTACCATTTTAGGATAGGCCAGCACATCTCCCAGTGCTGGAAAGTTGGTAGATAGAGAGAGAAGAGGTGAATTAAAATCTGATAATTCCTGGTGGAAACCAATTTTGAAGGGAAAGGCATATATGTTTGAACACAAAGCTGTGATTTGCTTCACTACTTTGATTTGGTTTTGCCACAACATATAATTATTTTTGAACTTGTAAATAACATCAAAGAAATTTATAATTGCTGTCTTTCAAAATGAAAGTGGATGGTCCAAGGTTAAGAAGGGTGAGGAAGCAGGCTGAGGGCCTTCTCGCTGCACCCTGCTGCCCTGCAGGGCTGGCGGCCTGGGCTCTCTGCTGAGGTCTCCTCCTGCACTCTGTCTGCACATTGCATGGCTTCTGATGACTCTGCCTTCAGCACCCTTTTAAGCCTGTCACTTGCTGCTGGCAGAAGCCTAGTAGGCTGAGCCTGCCTGGACTCTGCCATTAACCTCCAGGTGATCTCGAGCGTGATTCAGAACCTCCCTGAGCCTCATATTTCTCACCTATAACTTCAGATTAAATGTAATTTCTCTGCATAACACACTAGAAAGAGAAAATATGTGAAAAAGCCCTTTGATCCAAAATGTCAGGCATGTCTACCTTCTCTAACTGGTAGGTGCCAGGTGGGGGTTACATCCCAATCTCACATCTAGAGCTAAAACATAGCCGGTTGTCCACAAATGTGTATCACATCAAGAGTTATTGCCTGGCACTCCCCACCAGATCTCACACTGCCATAAATAGACAATCATATCCCACAGGTCTTCTCACATAGTAGGTGCCTCATTGAGATTTTATGCAGAAACAAACAATTGAAGGATTGCAAATGCTGTAGGAGGTCCTCCCCACTGTCATTCCAGTGACCTCCATCTTTCCATCCCCCCACACCCACCTCCAGGCCCATGGGCCACGTGAAGCCTTCCCTGGGTGCTCCAGTCTCTCTTCTTTTCTGAACTTACCCCGCAGGCCTGCTCAGCTAGTTAGGAAGTACAGCTTTACCCTCCAGTGCTACCTACCCAGGACAACACGTGTTACAGAACAGGTTCTCAGTCAGCACTGACAGGATGACTGCCCAGCTCACTGCTGGAGCAAAAGGATGGTAACAGCTGATGTGGAGTGTTTATTATGTTCCCAACCTTGAGTTAAGATCTTCGTGTAATGATTTCATTTTAACAATAATCTTATGAGATACATACAGTTATCCCATTTTATAGAGAGATAATGAAGGGCATGTAGCTGGTTACATTGTGAAGTCTTTGATCAAGCCAGCACCTGCGTGAGTCCACAGCACATTCCCTGACTCACGTCTTCAGAGGCCTTGGCCACGGAAAACATAATTCTCCACACCCTTTAATTAGCAACAGTTGGACAAGTTACATGGTAGCAAAGATGTTGGTTTTTTAAAGGAAAAGTTATTTACCTGCAAGGGTCAATTTTCCCTCATAGAGAAGGTGTCTGTTGGTTGGTGACAGGATGTTTTCTGCCATATGCTCTTTAAAAATGTGCTTCAGGCACTTGCGAAACAAGGGAGAAAATCAAAGAGAGGTTGTTAGTGGTTGGGAGAAAACATGTTTCTGCAGCTGAGGCAATGCACTCTGTCTACAAAGTTGAAGACATTTAGAAATGTCAGTATGTGGACATGGGAATGGGAAAGAGGGAGAAAGTCTTTGGAAGGACCACCCCGAGAATGGCAGGGGGGCCATCAGCCTCCCCACACACAAACGGTCCCATGTGGATGAAGGCTGTGCTTCGTTCTCTAAAACTAGATTCAATATTCCAGCGGACAGCCGGGGGCTTCGTTAGACTAATGTATTCCAACCGAGTGCCACACTCGGTCCTCGCGGACCTCTCCTTTACCTCTGGAATGAAAAACCTTTTGTCTCTATCCCACAGCGGGGGCCACACTACAATCTCCTGTAGATGTCGAAGTTTTTGAAAATTGTCAAGCCACTTCACTTTTCCTTCAAGATCCCCTGGAAGACAAGATACATTCAATATACTTTTAAATTTATGTGATGGTACAGTATAAATTTTAACTACAGTGCACCATAATGATTTAGAGACACCGCCCCTGGAGGCAAACCGTATCTTAGGTTCATTTAACATATTGCTTGCAGTTTAAATGTCTTAGAAAAACTCACTAATTTGAAATCAGCCTCTTGCCGAGAAAAATGAAGCATAGGGAATTTAATTCAATAAGTTTGAAATATATTGTGCATTTTTATTTAAATAATACAAATAACGTCTCTGGTAGCTTTTTCTAGTTCCCTATAGCACATAGTCTGTAATTAGAAGAAGACAAAAAAATCAGATTAACAAGGACAAATGTATTTTTTGTCCTAATTATAGAACATGCATGTGCTGAATGATAATTATTTCTCTTTGGTAAAAACCGCTTTTTTTCTTTTGAAGGTTTGTATTAACTTTCCAACATTTTCTAATAACATTGTTATTGAGGTTTGAAGTGATTTGGGGGAATATGGAGGCCAATCCCAGACCCACAGAGTCACGTGGTTAGGGGATCCCTGAGAATTCACTATCGTTAAGCTCATAGACTTAAAGTGAGGCCACAGGGACCTGTTCTGCCAACAATGAAAATACACATTTTACTGAGAAATCTCCAGAAGAGATGCCATTATCTTCTTCACCAAGCTATCAAAAGGAGTGATGATCTTCAAAATTACTTTAAAAGTTTTTAAAAGTCTGTTTTTAATTGAAGTTTTGTCTTACTCACTTGATAAGCTTAATTATAGTTCCTTGGTTCATTTTAGAATTTGAACAAAAAATTTAAAAAAAGGAAAAACTCCCATTGAAAGGCCATTTTACATTTACACTTGCAGAAATGAAAATATGTCATTTCTGTGCAACTGATAATTGTAATTTTGAATTGTTCCCTTTTGATACTCCCAGGAAATCTTGGTTTATGGAACATATATCATGGACTTCTTTATTTGAGTTTAATTATACAGAGCTACACAAATAAACTTAAGTCATCAAAGGGCTTGTTCTGTTCCCATTCCCAAATTTCAGTCCTAAGGATTGCAGTTGGCATTATTTTTAGATTGGCCCTGGATTTCAGGGACCTAAGAAGTAGTGAGCGGTAATTTATCTAATTTATCGGTCGGAAAGGCCTCCCATGGTGTTTATTCCCGTTTGCTTTGTTTGAGCTCAGGACAGATGTTAAAAACAAAGTCTGCAATTATTTGGGAAGTAGAACTTTTCCTGCCTGGTCTCACGTGGGAAAGCCTTGGAGACAGCCACGTCCTGCGTACACTTGCTGGTCGAGTTCCTGCAGGGCTCGCCAGGATGTGCCTGGAGCCCATTGTTTTGTGTGTGTTTGATTTCCCAGAGCCATGACCTCAAGTCAGTGGAACTACTTTCTAGGATGAAGCCCAGATCGTTCCCAGTAGCCAGAGCCTCCTCCTTGACCACGACCCCTTCCCCCGAACTCTCTGATAAAACTTCCACTGGAGCTTTGGGTCACCTGCCCCAGGGACTTACGGATTGACTTTTCCACCTTTTCCTTGATGGAGTAGATCATGATTTTCTCAGTAGCGTCTGTACTTCTTTTCCAGATATTCTTCAGCAACAAGGGATATCGCGTCAGCCTGTGTAGTGGAGCCACGAGCAGCTCAGACAGGTGAAGCCGTCTGCACTGCTCGTTTTGCTCGCACCACTGGGGAGGCGAAAGCAGACACAATCAGAATATCACCTCCGTCAAGGCCCTGAGAAGCCTGGACATGCGAAACTCAGAGATTTTACTTAGGAACCCCATGATGCAACTTGTTGTAGGGGTTTATGAGCCACAGACTACATTTCGTGTTTGAAAATTCTATATTAAAGTGTCTTTAGCGAATTCAGGGTCTGAAATGGGGTTCTTAGATATGGTTCAGAGGTGTTATTGAATATTACTGACTAAGATAATTACTTCCTAATTAAAGAAATGAGAGAATCCTCCTTTGGTTGTCTTGCCTTCCCAGTAATGGTGATGAAGGCAGAGCTTAGCATTACATGTAATATCAGCTCTCCATCCTCCTAAATGGGGAGATTTGTCAAGATGGAGAGGCACAGGAAAAGTTTAAAGTTTCTTAAATCCCCTAGGGAATAAAAGTTTCCTCTGTGGCAGTGATAAGATGTATTAATATACGAGTTCCTGCCTGGTTTACCCTTCTCACTTACGAGTTCAGTGGGCCCACTGGCTTCTGCTTCTCCCCGCCCCCTGCAGGAGATTTCTGGTTTTGCCAGCTCTGTTCCCTTCCTCATTGTGAGGCACAGTTAGAAGAACTAAGAACCAACACTTGAAGGGAAAAGGAAGGATCTTTGCTTGAGGGTTCAGTTCCTTGACTTTCTTTTCTTAGAGGCAATCAGGGTAATATGAGAAAGTAGAAATAGAAGTCAAAGAGGCTAAATTTGGCTACATGCTCTAGGGAAGAGCAGGAGAGGAAAAGGATAAAGACAAAGACCATTTTCAACAGAGAGAGTTTGACAAAGAGGCGGCTGCAGGGTGTGCAAAGCACTGGGGAAGCAGGAGAAGGAATTGAGTAAGTACTGCCGTGGGTTGCACATGCGATTTCCATAAATGGTATTTGAGAAATGCCAATAAACTTGAGAATAGTTCATAAATTTGTTTCCTTTGCTGTATTGTTTCTTTAACCGTGATGCAATCTTGAACCTGAGGTGCCCTAGCTTTTATGCAGGTGACACATGACACATGGAATTAGATCTCTGGTTTCTATGCATGTACACACATCAAAAATATTACTAGGGGGTGTGTTTTTCTTCTTATAGTTCTCTTCTCCCCTCTACTTTTCACTCACACCTTAGTTCAGCTCTGAAGGGGTCCTGCCCTTACACCAAGTATTTTTCTCACTGTGGCCTGCCAACTTTTTGTTGTTGTCTTTCATGCTCAGAGCAGGGCCACATTATTGCCTCTGCCTTGTGGCCTAGACCCTTCACAGCCAGCTTCAGGTGTACCCTCTGGAAGGCTCCCTCTGCTCTCATACATCTTCATGCCCATGTGTCAGCCCTTGCATTTTGGAGCTCTAGGCACAATCAGCTCAAACCTCCGCCAAGTCCAAAGCCCTCCCTTAGACATTTACAAACTCACTGAGCAAATGAGATTTGGCTTCCTCTGGCTCCTGGACACCTGCTTACATACGTACTTTCTTCCCTGAACAGTGTGGACCAACTGATGCCAAATTTAGCCCCTCGGTTGGCTTCCTATGCTGGCTTCCACTGTAATCCCACTCACGCCAAATGTTTTTGTGAGTGAATGTATTTATTTTACTGAAGATTTGTGATTGTGTTGATAGGTCAAATACACAGCTCACAGTACCTCCTCCCCATTCTGACTGCACCATTTTCTCCTTTGGAAAGTGAATTCTTCCTCTCGCTTTCCCCCTCTAACTCCCAGCCTCGTGCTTAGGAATTTGTACTCATCTTTTGTAGCTTGACCATGTCCTTGGGTGTTTTACCCTCTCCCACTAGGAACTTTATCAAAATATTTCTTCTGAAAATATCCAGAGCTCTTCCTCACAGGAATTCTGCTGGACACTATCTTTTCTACTTCCCTACCTAAGAGACAGGTCAGGAAAGTGAGCACAGGAGTTCATGGGCCAGGGGTGGACAAGGTGGGCCAGCTCAAGGAGCCAAGCTTTAAGACTTTCTGTGGGACCACCTTTCCTTCCTCATAAATCAGATCCTTCTTAGTGGGAGGCACTAGATCACCTCCTAGTTCTCATCTGGCTCAGAATGGCTGGGACTCTCATTGATGTTGGAATGGATGGAGAATAACGCAGGAATTGCAGTTGTGGAAAGGTCAGGGTGGTAACAAGTGAAAAGAAGAGCTGCGGGGAGGCCTCAGTCTGTGGCCTGAGGGGCTGATTTCCATACTGACTCACTGGCAGCAGCAGTCCAGCTCCGGTGCCTGGGAGCTCCAGTAACTGATTTCTCAGAAACAGTTAGGTATTTTCTCAAAACACAGTCCCGGCCACTGCTCCAAACTTTTATGTCACAGAAAACAGCTCTGGCTGCCAGCACCCAGAGGAAATGTGAAAACATCCAATCTAGCCCACACATCGATCAGGCAAGAAGCACCAGTGGTAAATAATTGAGACAAAGATCCGGGCAGGGGTAGTGGAAGCTTTTAGTGTTTCAGAAGGCCTCAGAAGAGAGAAAAGAGATACTTAATGATTCTAAAAGTAGATAGAAGTTTTTCTTTCATCTCTCCATTGCCTTTATTTTTCACATCCATTAGGGGAAAAAAGAACATCTCAGTCCAGAGAGATTGGACATAAAAGGCTTTTTTATGGATAGGTCTAGATCAATGGAGGATGCTTCTGTTTTATAATATACAGCCACTGAGTTTAGGGCAATAGTAAAAGGAATTCAGGGGCCCATATAAAAGCATTCTCCTTATAAACCTGTCTTAGTGGTGTGCAATATTGGGCTGAGGCAGCCAGCATTCTTGGAATTTTGGGAAGAGTACATAAGCTCTCTAAACCTCATCTATGAAATGTGAGTAAGAAGAATACCTACCTCAGCAGCTTGATGAGAGATTTTAAACAAGATAATTCATGCAAAGTGCCCAGAACCATGCCTTGCATGTTTTGAACACTCAGTCCAAGGTAGGTAGAGCTCTTAGTGATTGTTAGCAGTAGCCCACAAAGAGACCTGGCACAGAGTTCCAGTCTCTTTCTCTGCATCATTTTAATTGTCTCTGAAAGAGCAGGGGAAATTCCACTCCCATCAATGTGCATCGATATAATGTACAGACATTCATAAAGCCCAGCCTCTTGTGATGTGGAGGTAAATTCATCCCAGTGCATCAATAGCCCAAGTCCAGGTAGCCCATGACATGGCACAGACAGATTTCAGCTCTCCAACAATGTTGTTTATGTCAGCACATAGTAGGGAAATGAATGTCAGCTTCAGACAGGTCTGAATCGAATCCTGCCTCTGCCCTCAACAACTGTATCCCTGACTAATTGCCTAATTTGTTTGAGCTCTTGAAAAATGTGGAAGGATTGCCGGTCAAGATGGTGGCATAGGTAGACTCGGTTCACTTCCTCACACAACCATATAAAAATTACAGTTAAAATGTAGAACAACCATCACTCAGAAATGTCAGAAATTTAGCTGAATGGAAGTCTGACAACAGTGGAATTTAAGAAACAACATCCATCCAGACCCATAAGAAGTGCATATATGCGGAACAGGCTGGTCCCATACACATGGATAAAAATTTGGGAGGGACATCTTGGGAGTGAGGAGTCCTAGACCCATGCCGGGCTCCCCAGCCCAGGATTCCAGTGACAGGAAGATAACTCCACACAACTTCTGGCTGCAAAAACCAGCAGGGTTTGAGTTGGTGCAAGAAACTTCTGGAGCCTCAAGCAGTTTCTCTTAAAGAACCCATACATGGACCCACCTACTCAGACTGACTGCTTTTGGGCTGTAGCGCTGGGGTAGCAACTTGAAAGGCACCAGTGGTAAACAGGGAGGAACTGAAGTGTCTGGCATCAACATAAGCAGAGACCATTGTCTCTTTGCTAAACCCTCCCCCTACAGAGCCGGTAAGCTGGTGCTATATCTGAGACTCCATCAACCTGGCTAACACTGTTTGAACCGCCTTGGAGATTCCTAAAGGCTCTACCCCATCCAATTTACAGGTCCAACCAAGCAGCTTTTCCATGAGAATGGCTGGTCTTGGCTCCTAAATCTTATCTAACAAGCAATAGCTGGCTTCAGTGAGCCCTAATTAGATTCACAGATCAGCTTTGCCTGGGAATCTCCAAGCCCAGCACAAGTAGCAGCCATCTCAGATTGTTTAACAGTTCAGGCAGAGTGCCCCAGGCAGCACACAGGTGGGGGTTGACCTTGGCCTGCACCATCCAGGAAACCCCAGGGCCAGTGTACCCAGTAGACAGCTACCGATCATGTTGGAGCACCACCACTCTGCCCCCACACAGCTGATCCTTTACAGAGGGTGGAGGTTGGTGATCAGAGGTCACAGCTAGTCCTTGTAGCTGACTGGCTTGGGAAAATCCCTCCTATTGACCTGCCAACAGCAACCAAGTCTGAACTACAAGAGGAGGGTATACTCAGCCCACATGAAGGGCACACCTCAAGTACCCAGCTGGGTGTCGGGGAGGCTGTGCCACTGGACCCTACAGGACACCTACTACATTAGGCCATCTACTAAGACACGGAGTGAAAGCAACTCTACCTAATACATAGAAAGAAACACAGGGAGGCTGCCAAAAGGAAGAGACAAAGAAATGTAGCCATATAAAAAGAAAGAACAGATCAAAACTCCAGAAAAAGAGCTAAATAAAATAGAGAAACAATCTATCAGAAGCAGAGTTCAAAACACTGGTTATAAGCATGCTCAAGGAACTTAGTGAGGACCTCAGCAGCATAAAAAAGACCCAGTCAGAAACAAAGAATATACTAACTGAAATAAAGAACAATTTACAGGGAAATAACAGTAGAGTGGATGAAGCCAAGAATCAAATCAATGATTTGGAACATAAGGAAGAAAATACAACCATGCAGAACAACAAGAAGAAAAAAGAATTGAAAAAAATAGGATAGTATAAACAGCCTCTGGGACAACTTCAAGAGGTCCAATATTCTGATCACAGAGGTGCAAGAAGGAAAAGAGAAAGAGCAAGAAATTGGAAATCTGAAAAAATAGTGAAAGAAATCTTCCCTAATTTGGTGAGGAAATAGACATCCAAGTCCAGGAAGTGCGGAGAATCCTAATTATGATGGATGCAAAGAAGCTCACTCCAAGACACATCATACTTACAAAGCCAAAGGTTGAAGATAAAGAGAAACTCTTAAAAGTGATGGGGAACTCAAATGTTGGAAAAATTTTAGTTTCAGGTAACAACTAATAAGCTAAGTAATCAATGTATGTTAAAAACTATTGTTTCAGGAACTGAAGGTATGACCCACCCTGACTCCAGGAGACCATAGGCAGTTCTACCTTTGAGCTTTGGGAGGACTGCAAGCCATCAAGATGGAATTTGAGCCATTGTGCTCCAGGGTGAGTGACTACCACCCAGCACATAGATAAATATCACTGCCCAGGACACAGATGAAAGAATGCTGCAGCTTTTTATCTGCTTAACTGTTCCCCTGAATTCCAAACCCTTTACCTACACTTTTCTTCTCCTTATTAAAAGGGTCAGTTTAAAATGGAATTTAAGACAGTCTGTTAGGGTACAAACCTACCATCTTCTCAGATTGCTGGCTATTTGAATAAAGTGCCCTTAAAGATTCGATCCCTGTCTCTGTTTATTGGGTCTGGTAGGTGACAGGCAGCAACGAACACTAGCTTTTTTGGTTTCAAAAGCAGCAGGAGAAAAGAAGTTAGTCACCAGACAGTTGCTGAATGGGAGGGGGGTGGGAAGAATGGATGAAGGGGCGAGGGGATTAAGAAGTACAAATAAGTAGTTACAGAATAGCCATGGGGATGTAAAGTACACTATAGGAAATGGAGAAGTCAAAGAATTTATATACATGACCCAGGGGTATGAACAATGATGGGGGGATTGCCCAAGGGAGTGAGGTCTGCTGGGTGAAGGGAGGCGAAGGGGAAAAAATCAGGACAACTGCAATAGCATAATCAATAAAATGTAATTTAAAAATTAAAGAAAAGAAAAATGGGGATAATATCACATTCCACAGGGTTACTGTGTAGACAAAGACCATAGATGACCAGCAAGCAATGCAGTGGCTGGCCACAGCAAGAGCTTGAAAACCAGTCACCTTTATTATTATTATTATTACTGATGGTACATTACAAATACTGTGTTTAATTATTATGTTATAATCATTATATTTATTAGATATTATGATTGAGTTATTATTAATGATCTGTGATGATGCTTTTGTTCTACACTATGGGGCTATGGAAGGCAGATTCACCTTAATTCCTCCAAAGTCTCTCCTGACCCCTCACCTTTGTTTCATGACGCTAACAGTTCCCATGTGATGGAAAATAGCCCTGAAGAGCTGTAAATAGTTTTGGTGGAAAGAGCATTTGTTTTGTGTGCCTGAAGTCCTTTATCTAGTTCTTTTTTTGCCAACCATTTGCCATGTGGCCTTGCAAAAGTCATACAACTTCTCTGAGCCTCAGGGACACATGGGGACACTGCAATCAATTTCATAGTTTTGTGCTAAGGATTAACGAGATGTTTGATAAGGTGTCTGGAAAAGCACTGGGCATTAAAAAAGTATTGTGCATTATTATTACAGCATTGCATCCTCTATTTCCTTTCCCTGAATATCTTTGGATACGATGTATATTTCATATAAAAATGTAAACTACCGTCTACGTCACAACTGATATGAGATTTTTCACAGTTATTTGAAAATGGTCCTGGCTGGTGTGGCTCAATGGATTGAGTGCTGGCCCATGAACCAAAGGGTTGCCGGTTCGATTCCCAGTTAAGGCATGTGTCTGGGTTGGGGGACAAGTCCTCAGTGGGGGACATGTGAGAGGCAACCACACATTGAAGTTTCTCTACCTCTCTTTCCCCCTCTCTTCCCCTGTCCAAAAAAAAATCCCAAAAACAAAAACCGAAAAACAAAAACTTGGTAGCTGAGCCTTTCTGAATTCATCATGGCTTGATGAATTGCCCTGGCTTGAAAGAGACATGGAACTGGATTCTCCCCAGTTTGGGGTCCAGGCTGGGGGTCTAACCCAGCTTCCAGGGAAAGCTTTTGAAACAGGATTCTTCATACATTGGAAATCTAATGAGATTTCTGTTTTTCGTGTGAGTAGCAAAGAAAACACTGAAAGTATGAAGCTACAAAAACAGGATCAAGTCTCTTGCCCAAGATCATTCCTCCTTTCTCAGCCACACCACACCCAGGCTTCCCTGTGTATAGGGGCCACAGGTGCCGGGATTCACAGCTAAGTCTGGAAACTGTGGCAGCCTTTCCTCCCACGCCTCCGAGGCGATCCTCTGCCAGGGGCTTTTTGCAGCCGCAGGAAGAGCTGGTTTTCTGAAAAGGCTTGGACTATTTTCTCTGGATCATACAAAAGGGCTCTGGCATAACACTGAAAAGGTACAGTTCATACCAAAGAAATGTCAAGAGGGATCAAAGGAACTGGAGAAGTCAAGGGAAATCCTTTCCATGTCAGCTTATTAGCAAATGCCGAAGATCCTTAGCAGCAGTCCTGTCTCTAGTGGTTTGGGACCCTAACTGCCATGTTGCAGTTTCAGGGGCAACGTTTCCGTTGTGCTCTATGACATGCTCCAGGGGGCCCACTCACACAGAATACAGCGTAAATGGTCCCCCAAGCTCACATGCAACAGATTCGTGCTGGGACCAAACCCTGCAAGAGCCAAACATCGAGTCACGAACAAAGCCTCAGGTCTTAGTCTCGCTTTCTCCTTACAACACATCAGTTTCCTCCACAGACACACCAATGAACAAATGAATCATTTTAAAGCCTCAGCCAAAATTTCAGGAGGGACATGAGATGATAGAATGTTTCCAGATGTGTACCATTTAAAATTCCTCGGTGTGCAGTATTTATGAGGAAGATGTATTTATGAGGAAAGCAGATTTGTAATTAAAATGTATTGTTGATAATTTGTTTTTCTTCTTTCCCACTTAATTTGGGTGTAATAATTCCTAGTACCGGTTATACCTCAAAGAGTCCCAGGAAAAATATGAAAGAAAAGCAAATGGTACTTTACTTTTAAATAAATTCCAAAGTCATCTCTCTGCTTCAGGCTCTCCAGATAAAAGACAGCGGCGGAGTAGTTCAGGCAGTAGGTCTGGTGGCTCTGACAGAGGCTCCCTCGGAAATACTGCAAGAGGAGAAGAGAGCAGAGGGAGAGTGCAGTCGGACTTGCTCTTTCTCTTTGCTTTCATCCATGGCTAGCGCGGGGAAAAGTGGAGGAGGCACCGTTCCCAAGCAGGAGTCAGGACTGCGTGGATGGAAACAGGTTGCCTTCACAATAAGCATTCTTTTAAAAAATGCTGTTCCCGTTATAAAACAGTTAACTCCTCAATAAATCACCTTTTTAAAAAACCACACTTAAAGAAAATTCTAAAGGACACCTCGATTGAATTCACCTTTCTGTTTACGCTTTGTTGAAGTCTACACTCCCTACGGCACCACCGGGTAAGAAACACACTGCCTTTGATTTCAGGGCTTATGTTGGTTGACGTTAAGCTTGTGTTTGGTGGTTAAGTGATTAAAGTAACAACATTTAACTTCTCAACAACTTGTCCTTAAAAATATCCATAACTTAACTCTCCTGTTGGCTTCTAAAGCTGTAGAGTCTGAGGACCTCCGCTCAGCCTGTGTGTGTAGGTGTGCAGTAGTCGGCCTGCGCACACTGCAGCCGTGTCGCCACCTCTGGTGATGTCTGTCTTTGGAATGAGTTATTCTTTTCTCCTCAGCAAAGCTCTGTCTCCTCGTGGGCAGTCCTCTTCAGGGTTTCACAGTGTCTATCAAGTTGCTAATTCTAGGTGCTGCTTGATAGATTTATTGATTAAGGTAATAAGGAATGGGTCCCATTAATGAATTTCTAACAGTGTCATCATGTGGTAGAACTAGAGAAGGCAGGCACACTCGTTGAGAGTGCTATAACTGCATTTAGTGGAGAAAACAGACCCAGCCTAAAAGTCCCTAAAAGAAGGTGACAGTGACAAAGGCAGAAACAATGAAACCCTAGAAAAATACTTCGTTGTAGGACAGAGGAGAAAACACCATGGAGGGAAATGTCAAGTTTTGGCTGCAGCAAGAAGTAATTTGAAAGATGATGTGAATTTATTTTCGAGGGGGTGGAGGGGACATTTGTTGATAGCCTGGAGATAAAGGACATTGAGATGCTTGAGACACTTCATTAGCAAGGAGGCACCTGTGGAGGCCACACATGGTCAGGCTTAGAAATCTGACTCCACAATTTATCAGCCACGTGAGCTTGGCCAAATGGCCCAACCTCCCAGGGCTCAGTTCACTTCTCAGTGACTTGCTCACATGGCTCATGCGTGAACAACACAACGTGCCATTCTTTGATCTGGTGAACTGCTTATGAGGCTATATTACTGTTCACCTATTTTCCCTTCCCAGGGAGGATTATGTGGACCCCATCTGCTGCAGGTAAGTGTGGCCATGTGACTTTCTTGGCTGATGAAATGTGAATAGACCTGCCATGTGCTGCTTTAGGCAGAGCCCGAAGAGTCAGTGAAGGCTCTGCCCAGTCTCCTGTGTCTCTGCCATGGCAACTGGGAACCTTCCAGGCTGTGCCTGCTCCCTCAGCATGGGTCCCAGACACAGGGCAGTGACAAAGTACAATAGAAGGGGAGCATAGGGAGATATGGACCAAGTTACTGAGACTTGGGGATTGTTACTCTGGTACAACTGAATTGAACCTGACTGAGAAAGAGCCTTTTAAATTTAGGAAAAACTCATATAACCCGCCTTTGCATACCTGCAGTGTAAAGCATTCATATGTGGGCTATGTTAGAGACCTTCCGTAAAGAGTCTGTTAACACCCCATGCTTCAGCAGGCTATGGGTGCACTTACACGATGGTGTGAATGTTTGTCCCCCTCATATTAGTGTGTTGAATCCTGACCCCCAAAGTGATGGTATTAGGAGGTGGGCCTTTCAGGGGCTGTTTCATTCATGAAGGTGGAGTCCTGATGAATGACATAAATTTCCCTATAAAGAGGGACCCGAGAGCCACGTGAAGGATACAATAAGTCTGTGACCAGAACTCTCACCTAACCTCAGAATTCCACCCTCCAGAATCATGAAAAATAAACGTGTTATTTGTAGACCACCTAGTCTGTAATATTTTATGATAGCAGCCTGAACAGACTAACTTATGTGTTTTAAGGAGAAGTTGGTATTTCTCCAGGCTGTTTACTTAAAACTTAATTTAAAACTTTTCTGACTCTAAATAAATTGAGAGAGCTCAAGACTTCAGCTACTCCCCAACACTTTACATTCTCTTGTTTTTCAAAGTATTTTTTGTTCATATCTGTGTTCACAATTTACATAAGGATCTCCCTGCTTTATTCTTAGTTTTCTCCTTGTTTTTGCCGTGTTACGTTACTCCTCCTTCTTTGTGTCTCACCTCAAACATCTTTGCCCCGGGAAGAATTTCCTGTCTGTAACTTACTTCACACCCTGCCTCAATGAAGCTTTCCTTCATAATAGCCATGTTCTTTTTCTCCTCAGTATTGATATCAATTTGATTGTATAATTATTCCTGTTATTAGTGAATTATTTCCTCCCCACTAGACTGAAAATGAGCAGGAATGTTTCTGGTTTTGCACATTATTGTGTATTATCAGCTCCTCACACAAGCACTTAGTAAGTGCTCAATCAATCTCAATCTGGGCTTTTTTAAAGTGGATTATAAGAAGTCAAATCTTGCTAAATGAGAATAGATAGAAACTGGATTTAAAAGCTTAAAGTTAAAAAACATACGGAGGAGGCTCAAATATCTACTAAAAAAATAACACTTATCAGTTCAGGGCTACAGGGTTTCCTTGTTGCTTCTTATATTTGTGGAAGCCCTATTAAGAGCGCTGATGGATTTGAAGGTTTATTATTTTTATTTTTTGTCTGGAAGGCTGGCACTTTTGTTAGAAGAACAGCTGAGCCATGTAATTAGCCTACACAAACTTGCCATGAATATTGCTTTAAATTGAAGTCATTTAAAAAACAGACCTGGAAATGGCTTTTCCATGCATACAAATTTCTGTGTTAATAAAACTCATGCAGTGGAGGTGACAATGGGAAAACAGAATCTGCAAGTTATTTTTGAAAATGTTGATTGTCAGAGAAAAGGATGGTTCTTCTGTGGGAGGGTGAGGTAGAAATTTCCCAAGAACACATGACAAAAACAGAAAGTCAGGTAGATGTTAATAAGTATCCTGGAAGGGGGAGAATTTATTGCAAGAAGCAGAGATCTCCTGGAAGAATTTTACCTTCATAAGCACGGGAATGAAATCCATGGATGGTGAGGTCTCAGAAGCATCGAAGTAGTCCTTGACGATGGCAAAAAGGCTGCTCACAAATCCAAAGCTTGTCTACAGGCAGAGAGAAAGAAAATGAGAGGAGACACTCACCCAGGGGTAAGGAATAAATAGTTGATGAACTTCAAATATCATCCTACAGCTGTTTTTACATCTCAAATTTAGCCCCTGGCAAAATCCAGGTTTATTGTCCTTTTCAATATATATCTTCTTATAAGCTTTCTTTTATAAATAAATCCTTTTTAGAACCTCTCTTCATTTTTGGAGGAAAGATATTATTTGTTTAAAATATATGGGAAAAGGACATTCAGTTGAGAATAAACATTTGTGAAAGTTAAGGAGGTCTTAGGAGTATGTTTACTTTCTTAAAGAGCCAAGAGAAAACAAAAAATGCTACTGAAGGCCGATATCTGCGATCTCTTGGCAAGATGTCAACAAATGTTTAGATTTGCTTCTTATTAGCCTGATCTCCTGGCCATGAGGTTATGTGAGGGGACAGGGCATATTCCACATCTCAGTGTGGACTACAAGCCGCAGGAATAGAACAAACATGCATTTCCATGACCCTGCTAGCAAATTTCAAAACATGATTCCTGGCATCTTCTACTTCAGCTCACCTGACTTAACTCCTCCAGGTTTGCGAAAAGTCTCCATAAATCCACGTCCAAGAGATACTCATAAGTGTGTAGATATTTCAGTGTATTCATGAAGATCTTTTAAAAAATAAATGCACATTACTTTCTGATTTTCAGTTTTGAAACTTGCCCTTTTCAAGAATATTAAACATAAACCTCTGAGAGCAACTTTACAAAACAGTTTCAAAATCATTATTTTCAAAGTATAAGCATTTTCTGAAATATGAAGGATGACATTTAAGCTCCATAGAACATATGGAGCTACAGAAATGTGCTCTTCTGTATGGCGTTATTGTTGCTAATATGCTCCCTAACAACATCCCTGCTGAACAGAATCTGTTCAAATGGGCTTGCTCTGCCTCCTGGAGTCAAAGAAATCTCACAGGTCCTCTTCTTGCCAACAGTGCTGAGACCAAAACAACACTCATGCTGAGTTCTCATTTCTACCTTTCTCTGAGAAGATCCAAGTGTCTTTTACTTTCAGGAAATTAAAAATAGAGAACTAACGAGTTAATATTTGATAACTGGTAACATATTTAGATTTAGATAAAGGCATTAAATAGTAATGAAAGAATTAAGGCAGTCTTTATGCTGTTGTTACTTGATTTGATGCTTTCATGCAGTGAGAGATTACTTTACAGCAAGAAAGAACTACAGTCCTCACAGGTAACCTTCCCCTGATCCTGTAAACTAAAGAAAGATCAATTTATTGAAATTGGAATGCTTTGCATAAATATGATGAAGCACTCAGAGGGAACAATTATCTCAAGAATTTTAAGTGTAAAAAAGACTGGACTTTGGATGTCAACCTTCTGCAGCTCCATTTTCATATCACTTAATGTATGCAGTGAGTGGTTCTTGAACTTGCCTCAGCATCACCTAGAGGCCTTGTGAAACCAGAGACTGGGCTCCACCCGTGGAGTTTCTGATTCAGTGGGTCCCTGATGGAGTCTGAGGATCTGTGTTTCTAACAGGTTTCCAGGTATTCTGTTGTTGTGGTCCAGGGAGCACACTTTGGGAACCACTGACTAAGTGCTTTCCCAAGTCTGTATAGTTAGTGTGGTTGTCTGGAAGTCTGTCACTGTCCAAGCATTTAAAACATGGAACTGTAAGAAACAGAACTCATTACTGCAGATAAATTTGGAAGATTTAAAACAAAAAGTCTTTTGCTGCAAGATTCTCTGCTCTACTGAAAATTTTGCCACTAAAAAAATTGAGTACTTCAGTATATTCATTTTACTACTTGAATTTAGTAATTATAAATTCCAATTTACAAGAATTTTGGGAAATTCACATTGATTTTGTAAAGGGATAACCATGTATACTTTAAATAGACCAGGACATTGGAAAATAAATAAACTCAAATTGTTTTTTTTTTTAAACAGAAAAGTTTGAAACGCTTGTGCAGGTAACATCGGGGCAGAAAGTTCTGTGTTATTGATTAGAGCCGGGGAAGGAGGGTTTGGGGGTCCATGCCCCGCAGCGAACAGCTGTTGGTTCCCACCCAGTTCAGTGATCCTCTTCCACAACCTCATCCTGGTTTTCACCTCAGTGTTGACTCTTCCCCAGGCCAGACCTTACTCCCAGGGCTGGGCTTTGATGGTCTTATCAGTGTAGTCCAATCAGAATGAAATTCAAGCCTTTGCTATGAATGTGGAAAGGAGATTTCTCTCTCCGCCCCCCCCCCCCGCCCCGCCCCTCTCCTTCCATGGGTTTAAGGAAAACAGCCATGCTGTGACTACAGCATAAGCCAGCCATGAGGCTGATGCTGTGGAAGGTGGGAATGACAGATAGAAAAAAATCTGTCCTTGGTTTTAAGCTCCTTGATCAAACCAACCTTGAATCTCACCCAACTCTGGATTTCATGTGGGCCCGTAAAAGCCTGGATTGCTTAAGCTAGTTTTCTGTGTTCTCCTGATACACTCCTTAAGTTTTCATTTTTTCAGAGTGCCTTTGTGGTTTACATCATGTTGGTAAAGTACTCGGTGCTGTGACTAACAACAAACATCACTTACAGAAAATAGTAACTGACATTTGTGTGTCACTTGATAGACTTTGAAGACTAATCTGGTGATCACAACACCCAGATGTTGTGAGACAGGCTGAAATGGTATCGTCGCCCCTCTTTTATAGCTTAGGGCAGGGGTCCCCTAAGGTGGCCTGTGTGATAAATGAGGCCTGCTACCTGTCCTCGTAGATAGTGTTTTATTGCAACGCAGCTGTGCGCAATGCTTTATAAGTCACCCATAGCTCCTTCTGTGCTGCAAGGGAAGAGCTGAGTAGTTGTCATGAAGACCACATGGCCTTCAAAGCCTAAAATACAGGGTGGGGCAAAGGGAGATTCACAGTTTTGAGTACATGAAACACAGAGTTCATTCATGCATTATTATTTATGAATTATTATATTATCTCCCACACCAACATTCCTACATTTGCCCCACCTCGTATTTACTATCTGGGCCTTTATAGAAAACGTTTGCCAATATTTAGTTTAGGAAATGGAGGATTCGACCCTTCTAAAGTCACATAGCAAGTCAGAAGCAGATCCAGGACTTGAAGTTAGATCTCCCTAAGTGCTTTTTTTACACAGTGATTTTTCCTGTATGAAAGAGTAGGCAGATTTCAAAAGTGCTTAGGCAGAGGCAGGCTTGAGCGTAATATGAATCTTCCTCCCCTGTGGTCTTGGAAGGCAATTGCTCCCTTGTTCTCCCTTGCCCTGTGATTCTTCTGCAAGGAATTCTCTGCTCAGAGCCTCACTAGGTCAGGGCTGTAGCACTACACCACCTCAGGGGCACCGTTTACTTGGCAGACATCATGAATATACCACATCATCCAACCCCACCGCAATACATGTGGATGGCTGCCGGGGAATGTGTGGCTGTGGCCCTGCAGCTGATAGAAAGCATTCTCCCAGCACCGTTCACCGAGGAGCAAGAGCTCGGAAAGTGGAAGCTGACCAGCGCTGGAATGGGTGCCTGGAGTGCGGCTGTGAGCTCCCTGACTCCAGGACTGTGTGAACACAGAGTGGGAATAGGCTGAGGGGATTTAGATATCAGATGGGGATCTGGGCAGTTTACTTACATCTCCTCCAATCCTGAGAGGCTATGCTTAAAAAAAGAATGAAGAGATGACCAAGTAGTAGGTAAACAGTAGGTAAAATTTTCTTAAGATCTCCAAAAGGAGGAGAACTCCACCCACCCTCCTAACTTTTTTCAGTGTGGAAGAGGAAAACAAATCCCCCAAAATCAAATTAATATTTTCCATCTACTGCAAAAATTAAGTCCAGCATTACCATCTTAAGAACTAATAAATGGTCCAAGAAATAAGTGCATTCACTCGTGAAAAGTTCCCACACGGCCTCTTGCTGCTTCCTCGAGTCTAATTGATCAGTAGAAAGTTTTTGATGTGTGTCCACGACTTCATTCCAGGTCTTACCCTGCACGCAGGAGGGAAAAAGCACAAAACATTTCTGCTTCGATGGGTTGGCCTGTTCACCATTTGCCCTCATTTGCACCGAGGACGGCGAGAACAAGCAAACGTTCCTGAAATCATGGTTTTCTGCTCAGGCGCCCGTCCCCCTTTGTAGTGGCTCCTCAAGCTGCCCAAACCACAGTTCTCTCTGTGGGGCTTTGGGATGCATATCATGCATTGTTTTTAGTTTAAATAAAAAGGAATTTAAATTGATGTTGTTCTGCATTATGCTTGAGAATTTCATGAGCCTTGTTCAGTTTATTGCAAAGATATCACAGAGAATCCCAAACCCAGAACTGGGAAGTCTGATCCAGGCTTCCCTGCTAAAGCTTGTTGAAATCAATTACATGCGATGAGAGTTTTAAAGTTCACAGAGACTTTTGAAAGCAGTCTTATCAAAAGCAAGTTATTTTTTCAAATGAGGAAATTGAGGCCCTGAGGTGAGTGAGAGGAACCACTGTTCACACTTGCACAGGCCTCCGGTATCCATTCTTATTTCAGTTACCACAAATGACTTTCCTGAGGGTTCAGTGTGCATCAGAGAGAGCAGACCCGACTCGGCCCCGCTCTGTGCTCCTCTCTGGCACGTTGCTGTTATGTGAACAAATGCAATAAAATAATGACTAAACCAGGAAAAAAAGCCACATCACTTAGTAAGCAATTTGTGAGATACCTTAAGGCCGTGGAACTCATAGGCCCTGAAGTCTGCGATCTTCACAGAGGAGAGGCAGGTTTCCAGGTCAGATATATGCTTGTGTCTGTCTTTGCCCTGCTTAAAGATGGCGAGAAACAGGATTTCAGACAGGAGTTCTGGTCACCACGTGACTTTGGTAGCCTCAGCGTCTTCCTGCTTTCACTCTCTAACATGCACAGGAACAGACTGAACACTTTGTCCAGCAGCCACTGACAGTTGAAACGCCATTTCCCAGCAATAGCCTGATCCACAGGACCACAGAACGTCCAGTCCGGAGGACAGAGGCTAGGAAGGATGTCTGATCCAAGCCTCTCATTTGATCATGGAAAAACAATTATCCAAGGCCCAGAACAGTTGTATAGTAAACAGAGGGACTCCAGGTTTTGCACCCACCCTGTGGGGTGATAGTATGTCCTTCACAGTTCTAACTTTTCCAAACACAGGATTATAGGACTTTAACATCAGAAGGTACCTAGGATGCCTGGGTTCCACCCCACAGTTGGCAGATGACTGGGGAAAGCCCAATGTTGAAGGAACTGCCCAATATGCTAATTCACTGCTACACAATACTAGAATGTGCTAGAAACTAGTTTCCTTGGAATGAGATCACCCACTTATTTTTGTTACCACTTTCATGTTTAATAGTATTAGTCAAAAAAATCTGATTACACAAAGGTAATGTATGGTTATTGCAGGAAATTTGAGAAACAAAGAAAATCAAAGTTACCTATAATCTTTATTCCCGGATAACCACTGAAAACCTTTTTCTGATTGTATTTATAATTTATTAATGGTGTCATATTTGCACACCCTTTAGTAACTTGCTTTCTAAAGTTAACATATTGATTGTGACTTTTTGGACTTGTTCAGTACCCTGTTGCAACATCATACATTAATACATTACCCACTTAAAAAGCTCATTTTGCCACCTATACTAGGAAAAAGGTATCAAATAAAGTGTAAAGCCTCCTAAGTAAACGTGGTTTCATTTCAAATGAATGTTTATCACAAATAATTTTTTTAACCTGTTCTGTTGCCTCAGGGTCAAGATGCTGGCATGGATCTAAGCTGTTTGGTGGGAGTTATTTAACTTTATGTTAATGAGCAAGGGGATGCAGGGGTTATCGCTTCAGGCTGCTCCCTGTGTGTCTGAAAGGAGACCCTGTGATCTGTCCAGAATGTTCTGAAGGGTTGTGGCTGGCTTTTATGACACTGAAAGACAAAACCTATTAGAGACTCATTAGCTTCCACAGTAGCAAAGAAATCTTAGAGGGGGTTGGGGACCGCCTACAGCAATTGGGATATATGCCTTTTGTTGATGTCTGAAACCATAGTGACTGCATGTTGTGGAAATAAAAAGTCAGCAGCCTGATGGAGAATAAAGACGCTGAGACAATGGGAGCAGCTTTCCAGCTGTGGGAAAGTGGGCTCCAGCCGTACTGAAGGGCACTCACCTCGGCTTTCCTTGGGTCTGAGCAACCTCCTGACCAAAGTGCTTGGTGGATAGACCAGTGAGAAGGGAGCGGAAAGTCCTCTCAGAGATCCCATTAACCCTTCAGAGTAACAGGCCCATTGTTGGAAGCCTGCTTGCTTTCAATGTGGTGGCATTGGCAAGGAGAGGTAATGAGAAGAATTTGAAGGAGAGGACACACAGAATGAAGGAGAGCAGAAACCAAGCTTACTTCTGGGGTCTCAAAGTTAGTAACTAAGAGCTGGGTGGAATGGTAATTTATAGTAGGCACTGATGACACAGGACTGGAGCAAAATGAATATGTGTGATATGTGAACATGAGCATACACACTTCAGAGTGGCTGACAAAGAGATGGCGTTGAGTCTGTGAGAACAGGCAAGATCTCAGAGTGCTCTGATGAGATAAAGGAGGCGGGAGTATCCAGCCCCACATTTGGAGGAACGTTTCAACGTCAGGGCTAAAATACGCTCAGAGCCAGAGGGCCTGAGACTGCTGGGGACCAATCCCTACTCTGCCGCTTATCAGCTGTGTGAACACAGGCAAGCTATTCAACCTCTCTGAACCTCTGTTTCTCCATTTGCAAAATGGGGTAGTAATGTTACCTGCTTATTGTGGGAATTAATGAGTTAATGTATGTGAATTACAACAAACATAAATAGGAACACATACAAACAGAAATAGCGCTTGATAATGTGGTAAACATTATATGTGTTTGCTTTCATTACTAATAGTCATTAGAAAAGAGAGAAGAAAGGTTAGAAAAGGAAAAACTATGTAATAGATTGGGAAAATACATTATAACATAGCAGTGTGTTTGTTTTATTTATGTGGATTATTATTTATATAAATACAAATTACATAATGAATGAGTCAAACAGCATGAAGGAGCAAGTACACATATTAATTTGAAGGATACTGTGCCCTTACAAAAGCAAGCCTTTGAGATATGAATTTCCCTTCATTACTGAGGGCATCTGCTAAAGCATTTTATCATCCCACTAAGTATTCTGTCTTTGTGTGTCTCTACCACTGCCTACCTACCTCCAACATCCTGCAAGCCACAAATCACGATTTCCCCCCTAATTTACATGTCAGTTTGACCTCAGTTATGAGCTGACAATGGGCATCTTGGCCTCTTAGATATCTAGCCCAGTGTTTGGCACATCCAGTCACCCATCGAGTGGAACAAATTGCTTCTTTATGGGGAAAAATACATTGATCATGACAACTTGTAATAGCATCCCTTCCCTAGGTAAGTCCCTGCAGCCCTTAGAACCTCCCTGCTCCAGAGGAGCCCCTAGAAGAGCTGGTGGGAGACTGCCCTTCTCCGGAGACCTCAGACCTGACAGTAACTGGCCCTGCCTCCCTTTACAAGCCCAGGAAAGCTTGTACCATAAGCCCCAGACCTGCCAGGAAACCAGCCAATTCAGGTCCCTAAAGAGAGGCAAAATGAGCATGAATGATGAGATACAGCACTGGTGACAATGGTGTTAAAATTTTACTAGTGGTTATCGATTTGAAGCTTGTACTGTTAGGCTCTTCCTATGGCTCAGTGTTTCTGTTGCCCCAACCCCCAGTTCATATGTTAAAGCCCTAACACCCACTGTGATGGTATTTGGAGACAGGACCTTGGGAAGCAACTAGGTTTAAAGATGTCAAGAGGGCTTATAAGGACACTGATCCCATTTATGGGGTTAGTGAAGAGGAGGAACCAGCGGAGCTCTATCTCTAGTACGGGAGGACACAGGGAGAAGGTAACCATCCACCTGCTGGGAAGAGAGCTCTTACCAGAACCCCTGACCACGCCAGCCCCCTGATCTCAGGCTTTCCGGCCTCCAGAACTGTGAGAAGTAATTATCAGTTGTTTAAGCCATGTAGTCTGTGGTGTTTTGTTATAGCAGTCCAAGCTGACAAAGACATTCATATGAATATTTTATGTTTGGAAATATAATGTGAAACTCACTCATACAATTGATTTTGAGAACAAATAGTTTTCCACACTCTAATTACAAATAAAACTACCAATAACATGACCAACATTGAGTGTTTATGAGGTGCCAGCTCCAGGGTAAGCTCCATGTGTGTTACTTAATTTACTCATCACGACCATCCTCGACGATGGCACTATCGCCATCCAGATTCTACAGGGAACGACCTGAAGCTGAGGGTGGTTGAGTCATTTGGTCAAGGTCACAGAATAGTAAATGGAGCCGCTGGGATTGGAATCTCAGAGAGCTTTTAATTTAGCTATGGTACTTAAAACTGGTATTGCAACTGGTATGGTTGGGAGAACAGAGTTAGTCCTTCCCCTTCCTACAAAAACAGGAGTGAGGAGTCAGGCTGTGGGCAGGAATGCTCTGTCCCTCCAGCCCCAGCAGGCCTGAAGGGAAGCCTGCCCTGTGGCCAACGCTTGTCGTGGGCGATGGAGAATCAGGGACCACTAATGTCGATTTATGACTCTTTCATAATTGATGGTACCAAGAATGAATTCTTAAAACACACACACACACACACAAGGACTAATCCAACTGGTTTTCCCAGAAATAGAAGAGTATTTGTAGAATCTGTTTCTGTAATAGCTCATCAATTTTTCAATGTCCCGAATACACACTGCACTGACTGCAAACTGGGGTATACACTGTGCAAGCTGATTCATCGCATGAGCTGTTTCCAAAGCTGCATTGAATTATAAATTTAGAATTGTAAAGCCTAATGATATTAGCATTGCTTTTTTTTTTTTGCAGAGCTTGTTAACCACTGGCAATTAGCACTCTTCTGCTGCACAAAAATGGCCTCATCTGGCATGTTCTGCAGCCGCTACTACGAATGTGATGATATAATTTAAATTTCATGTGCCATCTGCCATCATGCAAAGATAACGGGGCTCTTCAGCCTTTTCTTACTTCTTAGCTACAGGAGGCTTAATTAAAATGGAAAAGGCAAGGCACAGAACTCACCACTCCTCTCCTGGAGAAAGGCCATCTTGGCTTTTTCGATTCTGGTGGGTAAAATTAAAGAAAATATATTAGGACTTTGAGTAACTGGTGACAGAGCATTGCTGTGCTTTAAAAAACTTGCTTTTTCAAATGAGCCAAACATAATTCTTCCTGCTTTAACTCTCTTTCTCTGGAGAACACACAGAATAAATATTTCTAGTTATTCAGATGAGTGAAAGAAGCAATGTTGCAACCTGAAAGTCGGTATTCCGTTGCTACCTGAAGGTAATATAATTATTGTCCTTTTCATTTATTACTCAGGGGAAAAATTCTATGAAGTGTAATAAAGATGTTGAATAATTAATTTAAGGCAGAGTCGTAGGACTTTGGGGCTGAAAGAACTTCATTTTCCCCCTGTTCCACCAGCAATCCCCTCAGCATGTGCCACTCCAATGGCCTCATCAACCTTGAGACTTGAGACTGCATGGACCTGATAACCCCCAGGTGTGGTTAGACACAGGCTCCTGAAATGGGGAGGCATCAGCACTTCACCTGTCTTTATGACGCAGGTTTATTGTTGCTATCGGCCACCACCCAAGTAGTCCTCAGGAATTGTTTGAGTTGAGGAGGAAGTCATTGTTCAAAAACACATTCTTTTGATGATCAGGAAGTAAACAGATGAAATTCTGGACTCCTGATTTTTATGTTATTGCATCAATTTGTAATGTTACCCAGAAAGGACTGGGAATCATCTTTCAGGTTTAGGTAAGGAGTTCTGTTGACTCAGTATAAATAATAGACATCTTATAGGTCTATATCTCTGTTCAATTCATCAGGGGACTCTGCACAATCGTTTAATTAGATGGAGGTGGTTACCCAGCAGCATTTACCACAAAGGGTGTGCTCGAGGACTTTTCCTACTGGAGCCCTGGAAGGTACCTGTCCAAATGATTATCTTGCTCCTTCTGACCACCTTGTTAATCTTTTAAAAGGCGAGGGGTAAACTCTCCTTTAGCGACAAATCGGCTTCACCACTCTTAGCCTTCAAATGCCTGGTGGTCCAACTTGAACTGCCCTAAATGGGATTTTTTAGTCTTAACAGATTTCTCTCCTCTGCTTTTCTAACCCTGGGGGTAATTTTAGGGCCTTGGGAAAGCTTCACAGATATTCAGAAATATCTGTGAATATTCAGAAGACTGAAATGGGTCTTTATTGCATCCACAGTCTTTTATTATCTGTGTTAAGTATTCAGGTTTGCTGACTTGGAATCTCTACCTCAGAGACTTAGCTGTACTGCACTGAGTGTAGGTGTAGGTGACTCCCATGTGCATCGGGGCTTGAGCGGCACTGCATTGGACCATGATTCGGGGACACAAGTGCTCTATCTTACACTCCCTGAGGAGAGGGCAGGGTGGGATTTGCATTACTTTACTGTGTGGCTTCTGCTGTGATGCTAAGCACACAACAAAGAACAATGAGTTGATTGAGAAGCATCACGTAGACGTTATGAGCGGTTTCCTAGCGCAGTGGTTTCCAAACTTCAGGTGACACCAGAATCACCTGGAGGGCTTATTAAGAAAACAGATTCCTGGGCCCTACCCCCAGAATTTCTAATTCAAAAGGTCTGGAGCTGGGCCCCGGAATCTGCATTTCTGAGAATTTCCCAGTTAATGTTGAAGCTGCTCCTCTGGGACCCGCCTTTGGGAAGCACTGCTTTCATTGCTAACCAGTTTAAAGCATTTGCAAAGTATCATGGAACAAGTACTCATTTCTGTTGAAGTTATGCTGTCTTTAGAGCTAGCTCTAATTTCTAGGGTCCAGTCCTTAAGTAGATCACTTAATCCTTGGTTTCTTCATTTGGGTGATTATATCACATGAGAGATTAGATGTTCATTTGGATGGTTGTGTCATATAAGACAGTAGATGAGAAAGGGGTCTATAAAGAGTGAAGAACTATACAAATGTTAGGTATGACATATTTACTGGTGGCTTCTGGCTTCTGGGTTCTGTATCATGGGTGGTTGCTGCAGGCTGGTGGAGGGTGCACAGGACAGGCAGGCAGGAGCCTAGATTCCATGCCCCTGACACAGACTAGCTGACACCATGGCTGGGTCGCTTGCTTCTCCTATCTGGGTCTCACTTTGCACACAGGTGAATGAGGAATGAACTAGGTGGTTTTCCAATTGAGTTGCCCAATGTCCTGGGCTCCTGGGGGGGTGGGCTTTGGAGTGAGGCTTTGGGACCCACCCCACTTTCAAGCATTGCAAATCTGCCTGGATCTGTTTTATATGCTGGATTTTCAAGTGAGGATTCTTATGTCAAAAGGGCCTTGTTAAGAACAAAACCAGTTTAACAACTACCACGATGGATAATTCTTGTCTCCTTTTAACTCTCAAAGGCTACCCTCAGAATTGTGGGGGGCTGTTCTTTTCTTTCCCAACTAAGTTAAAAAATGCAGAAGATTTACCCTTAAGGCCACCTTTCTCTAATCTCTAACAGTAATCTGCTATCACCAGGACCTCTGTCTCCACAGGGTACCACACTGGTTGGGAGGTACCAGTGTGAGGCTGAGAACCAGGAGCAGGGTAGGGGTGTGGTAGCACAGCAATGATGGGGAAGCTGCCCACCAACCCAGAGAAAGCATTCAGTTCCCTGATGGTGGCTGTCACTGGCATACTTGTTCCAGGTCTGGACAGGGGCAAATCCTTTGACAAAGAGGACCTTTTGAGAGAAGGACCATACCTAATCCATCTCTGTAACTGGAATAGCCAATACCAGATCCAGTTGGAACCACCTGATACTCATTTGGTTCCAGCCATTCATCGCTGATGCCTGCCTTGATTTGGTGAGAGATCTCTTTTAACTTAGTGCACATGTTGTAAACGGCCATTAACTGTTTTGAAAATGCTCCCGGCTTATTACAATATGGTTCCCATAGCAGCCATGTAACATAAGTACGCTGAATGACGGCACCTGAATTCAGCAGCAGAAGTGGGTGGCACAGGTAATGGGCAGCTCCATCGGACACCAGAAGGTCCCCAGGGAACACCTCAAGTCCAGGCAAGTTAAGCACCACAGAACTCCGTCTGTGCTCGTAGAACCTGTGCTCAGAAAGCAGAAGACAAAAGCTTAGAGCCAGAGCCGGCACACAGGTGGGTCCTCATTCCACCACCTCTGCACATTCAGGAGCGACTGCTACAAACCTGATGAATGCCTGCATTTTTTAGGAAGAGTCTGGAGGCCACCTCAGGCTCCAGGCACAGGAGAGCCAGGATGACGCACAGCATCCACACCTTTTTGAGCTTTATTGACCATTTATGGTTCTGACTAATGCAAAGAAGAACAGCTCTCTCAAAAATTCAGGACACTAGGAGAAAGCCCGCACACACAAGAGTCTTTGCACATTATTCACAGGGCTTTTGGAGAGAGCAGGATGCATGGTGTGGCTGCCAGCATCTCTAGAGATCGAAGGCTGGTTGTTTCAAGTCAGTGGTTTTTTTTTTCCCAGAGAAAAACAAAAATTGTGATTGATAAAGCTTAGCAAACAGGCCTACTCACCTTCTTTTCTGTACCCCATTTCATGAAGCCTCCTATTGGATAGTCACAAAATAAATGGCTGACATATCAGACACAGTGGGAGGCAGCTCCAAAGCCACTGGCATGTGCTCAGAGATCTCTAAGAAGCAAAGGGGTAAGGAATCTGCCCCCTGGGAACCTGCCTGATAGCATCGAATTGTGGGGATTTTCATAACTTCCTCATCAGAGCTGCTCAGACATTCCTTTGGTCTATTCTGAGGGATGAGAGATGCAATTCTTTCCACTTATTGACCAATGTAGTCTCTACATTCTCTTTTTCATCAACAAATAGCTTAGTATATAGGTTACTTTATATACAGAGGAATTTTGTCTCAATTTACCAACAAAAGTATAGCTATGGAATTGCCTTGGAAGTTGAGTCTGCTATATTTTGGATACTATGATTTGGTCCATTGCCTGCTCCCCACAAAGGGGCTGTAGCTGGAGCCTGTTAATCTCTCCAGCATAGCCCTTCCACTGCCACTGCCACTTTTCCACCTGCCTCCTGCTGAAGTCCTCCAGGCTTTGTAGCCAAGCTCCATTTTTCTGACCTTCTGCACAAGTGATGGTCTTTCTGCCTGTACTCTCATCTCTTGCCTCGAAATTGTACATTCTTGGATCTCACATCCCGTTTCAATATGTTTGATGCTGGGGTCCTGGTTATGCCCTGCCAGGCCTATCATGCTGTTGACCAAAGCCTGGTATTAGAATTCCTTGTGGAATTTATTATAATACTCACCCCTAAGTCCCTCCCTTGAGATTCTGATCCAGCAGGTCTGCAGGTGGGCCTCTGAATCTGTAGTTTTCCCAGCTCCCTAGATATTCACCAGAGTTGGAGAACAACTGATTTTGAGGATACAAGTAACTTGATGTAGCATTTTTCTACCTCTAGATATTAACAATTATTTCAAATTTTCAGCCTTCTGTTAAAAGCATTTCTGGATCATTTTACTTATGAATAGCAGAACAAATTGCTTAGGAATTTCTATTAATGAATATAGCTTATGTCCCATAAAGTCCTCCAAAAGATATGAAATAAGGCTGTCTCAGACTTTGAGGATAGATGCTGCATGCATGAAAGAAAGTTAATATTTAGTAATAAAAGGCTGCTTCCTCCAAGAAGTCTCCCTGATTGGTCAAAGAATTACTTTCTCATATTTGTGCACTGCTCTTCATTCCCACTAGTTCAGGCCCTTGCATCTTCAACCTTCATTAATATAGTTGCCTCTTAACTTACATCTTCACCTTTAGCTTTATCTTCTTGATTCCATCCTAAACCCTGTCACTAAGTAGGAGTTATTTAAAGTGCTAGTCTGACTTAGTCCCTCCTGTCCTCAGACACTTCAGTGGCTCTTCATTCAGCACCAGATAAACACCTTTTTAAAGCATATGCACAAACCTTCTGTGATCTAGCCCCTGAAATTCCTTACTTTGTAATTTATTTTCTGGGAATAAGGAATGGATTATAATACCAACACAAAAGGTTTTACATTTCAGTGCCTTAGCTGGGAATGTTTGGCCCTCACTTTGAACTCTCCAAAACTTTCTAACCCCTATTTGTCCCATAAGACTTAGAGCCATGGATTATCTGAGTAACTTAAAAGGAAAATAAAATTGCTTGGCTTTATACAATTAGCTGTATTTCCTGGGGTTTTAAAGTCTGTTTTGACTGCCCTTTCTTGCTCATCTCTCTTGTCCTCTTTCTTTGTAATGAGAAAACTTGAGGTTAATTTTGCAAACATTGCTAGCTGCCAAACCAATGTGCATGCTCTCCATTTTTCTTACTATCAAAACCCTGCTTTCCTTGGAATGGGTGGTGTGTGCTGAGGTAATACAGTGATTTCGCCCTGACTCAGCTGAGGCTAGCAGAGGCCCTGTGACCCAAATACGGCCAATGCGATTTAAACAAAAATTGCAGGGTGTGGATTCTGGGAAACTTTTTCAAAGTGGAAAGTATTCCTTAACTTTTCCTTTTACCTTTTGCCCTTTGCCCTTATTATTGCCTTGACTATGGCTTGACACCCGAAATTGTACCAGTGATCTCCCAGAGATAACAGCAGAACAGGAAAACAGGAGGAGCCTGGGAGGTTACTGACATCTGCCTTGGCCTAGGCTTTGACTGTGTACAAGAGAAATGCCCTTGTTTTTTGCTTAGGTTATTCTAGTTGGGTTGTTACATGCAGACAAATGCATGCATCCTATTGACACAAATTGCCCCATCCTGGGCTTCCTTCTCCAAAGAATAAGGTCACTTTTTGGCATTCTGCCACCTCTGTTTTTTTCCCCCCTATTTATGATGAGGTTTCATAAGAACATTAGTTACAACTCAAATTCTTAGAACTGTCCCCATTTTGTTATTTGTCAACCCAGTATCCATGGTGGTTGAATTTGGTGGGAGCTGAAAAAGTTACAGTAATTTGGGTGGGAAATATAATGCTAGTTTCATTGTCTTGGATACAGTACTTTGGAACTGATACATTATTTATTACCAGTACACAAATCCAGCCAGGAATTTTCACAGTGCTATTTAAAAGGTATTATATAACATAGCATGCTGAGAACCCACAAGAAAAAAGTTCCCTGGAAAAAAGATTAGAAGCTTCCTGTAAACCTCATACTTTTCTTGATAAAGATCCTAGAAACATACAATGAGATCTGGTATTTATGGAGATAGTGGAGATTGGAAAAGTTACAATAATTCGAATGAGAAATGTAACCTAGCTGAACTTTGGGGGGAAAGTTAACTCTTTTGAGCCTTAACTCTAGATGTTACACAATCTGGTAAGTACAATGAGTTCTGTAGCTTCCTACGACTCTATAAGCAATCTCTAGGGAACTCGGACAGAACATAACTACCAGTGGAGTGGGAGGATCAGTGTCCCCCACTGCCTCTAGGCTGCCTTATGTGTTTCTCTTCCATGCCTCTATAGTTCTCTGGAGCGATGGCTATGAATGAGGAGTCAATGGCCTGGATTTTAAACCTGAGCTGAGTGACCTCAATGGAGCAAGTTAATAGCTTCTCTGGCCCTGACTTTGCCTTTAGTGAAACGTAGACAATAATCATACCTACTTATTGTATGAGGATGGACAAAGGCAATCAATGTAAAGCATTCAGATCAGTGTCTGGAACTTAGTAGTCTGTTAATAAATGCTATTATGCTAATTACTGAATATGTTATGATATAATATTCTATTTACATGTCTGTTTACTCCACTAGACTGCCAGCTCCTTCAGTGCAAGAAACACATCTTGTTATCATTTTTTGTTGGTGGCTGCTCATTTAGTGCTCAATCCATGGTTTTAGATACACATCAATGAATGAAACACTCCTCCACTGTTGTCCTCCCTCACGGAAAGGGTTTTACTCTATTACGTAGTTCTGCAGAATCATGTCTTATCTCTCCTCTTACCCTAAACTTCTAGCTTCTGGTCTAAACCCCTGTGTTACATAAGAGCTCAGTAAACATTTGTTGTGTAAGTTGGGGGTCCCCATCCTCCAGGCTGTGGGCCAGTACCAGTCCTGGCCTGTTAGGAACAAGGCTGTACAGCAGGAGGTGAGCTCGAATACAATGTGCTTGAATCATCCCCCAACCATCCCACCCCCACCCCGATCAGTGGAAAAATTGTCTTCCACAAAACCAGTCCCTGGTGCCCAAAAAAGTTGGGGACCGCTGGTGCAGATGGAGCCTTAACTAAACTGGCATTGCCCAGGGTCATCACTGCCATTTTGTCACACAAACTCCTGCAGAACGTGCACTCCAGTAATTGCCAGCCACTCACCATTCCTTAAACTCACCCTGCACTTCATGCCTCCACACCTTGGCTCAGGTAGCTCCCATCTGCCTGCCTAGGTCTACTTTCTCCAGTTGCCTGGAAAACTCATAGTCATCTCTAAATTCCAGCTTGGACTCCCTTTCTCCAGGACTGTTTTCCTGGTGTGCCCAGGAAGAGCCAACTCTCTTTCCCTCCTTCCCCTCCCCCCACTTTGTGTTTTTATAATGATTTTATTGAAGCCCTATTCTGTGTCTTAAATATCATATAACTTAAGCATTAACATAGAACTTGACATAGTGCAGGTATTTAAATACACTTACGGAATATATAGGTATATTGACCTATGGAATGATTATATACATTTCTCAAATGAATTTGCTTTTCCATTTTGGAACATGAGTAAATGATCATACACATATACAAGAGGAAAATGCAGCTTGAGTCCTCCATTAAAAGTGGTTGAATTACCCCTATCCACTTCTCCCTTGACTAGGGTAACTTCTGACATAAGGAATCCATTTGTGAGCACAGAGGCCAGGTTTTGGAGTTCAATTTGCACATATGGCGCAGAGCTAAGACAACTGGCTTACACCAGGCTTGGGCTGTGACTGTGGCTTTGTTGCTTTGGTGTTCAAAACCCAGGATGCTCATTCTGAAAAGGTGGGCATGTCTCTGGAAGGGCATAGCAGAATCTCTGTGGATATGACATTTTTATGTTCATCACAAGAGGGCACAGGTTAGTAAAAATAT